GGGCCAGATGTGAAACTGAGCGGAAGGTGCTCTGAAGTCGGATTCCCAACTCTGCTCTTAGAGTGCTTTGCTGAGGTTGGAACCAGGGCTCCAGCTTTTCCTATCTGGAGAATGTCTAGAAGGCACAGGATTGTGCCCTAGATGTATGAATGCCTGCCCAACTGCAATGGGAGTTTTTTTTAATTTGCACAGAAATGCTCAACAGAACTGGGAAAGAAAAAGACCTTGGAGTGATGGTGGGCAACGGGCTAAATACGAGCTAGCAATGTAATACAGCTGCAAAAAGGGCAACTCCTATTCTGGGATGCATTAATAGAAGTATTACTTCCAAATCATGAGAATAATAGTATACTCTTCAGTAGTCAGACCTCGTCTGGAATACTGTGTCCAGTAAGCAACCCCATTGTACATGCTTGAGGTTCTGAAAAAAGGGGGAGACCCAGGAGCAGCAGGAAGGGGTAGCGATCGGAACCAGGTGGAGGAGATAAGACAGGGAGAACAGCCCGCTTATTTTAAAAGGGAATGATGGAAGGAGGGACCTCGTGCAAAGCTGGGTGCGTGTTCACAGCAGCAAAACGGTTGTGGTGCAGCTTTGTGGCTTAGTCATGACAACTCAGCCAGGCCAAATATTCCACTTCAAGGACGGCAATCCTCTCAATGCAAACCAGTTTTTGTTTATAATTCAGGGATGGCAAAATACCCAGTGACTTGCTGTGTAACTTTTATCTCAAAAACATTTCCTTCTGCATGAAGCAGAAGCATAGAAACAGAGCGAGTCAGAAGGGGTCTCCCAGGCCATCTAGTCTGACCCCGGCTCCAGCCAGCTCCACTCATGACATGCCCACCACGTGCAGGCCTCCTCCCCTTGTGAGCAGGAGGCCTGCACTGCGATGCCAATTGCTCACCGTGCTTAAACAGTCGAGCTGTTCCTGGTTCAAAGCGCTCCTGCAGCCAGGAAGCTGACCTTGCAGGGTGTTGTGAGGAGCAAGTGGTTGGGGACAGGTCCACGCCCCAAAAGCAGGCTCCAAATGCAACGGATATATGCACAGCTAACTTTCTGGCAAGCTGTTGGAATGTGCACGTCGCCTTCCCTTCTTGCGCTCTCTCGGGCGCTGTCAAGCACCCACTGTAGGCACCCAAGTGTTCCTAGGCAGTTGTTCCTGAGTGGATGACTCGGGAGGGCTCTTTGCTGGCAAGAGCTTTCTGCAAGGCTGGGCTGGGTGGAGGTTTGGCCAAGTAGGAGGTGCTCGTATGATCTGGGCCGGGTGAGAAAGGAAGCGGGCAGCCTGCCCCAGCTCGTTGTGTTCACACATCCCCCTCCTTCCTGTGCCAAAACTTTTGGGGCTGCCCAGAAGTGGCTAATGTGGCTTGGTCTATAGGGCATGGCGAGCTTCAAGGTCTATTTATTTATACCACTTTTTTCCCCACCTGACAAATTATTTCCCTGGTGGGAACTGTGCTCGTGTTCTTTTCACATATCTCCCAAGCAGTTCATACATTTTCAGCAGGTCAATGTGTGTTTCTTCCTTTCCGATCGGGGGCCTTTCATTTCAGCTGCTCAGATCCAGCAGCAAACCTCCAAGACACCGAGCCGCAAAGCTCCAAGACAGGCTCTCTGGTGTAATGGGTAGAATATGGCCCAGGGCTCAGGAGAGCCAGGGCCTAGTTCTCACTTGGCTGGGAAGCTCAGTGGGGGACTCTCCAGCTAGTCCACCTCGCAGGGGTGTTGCGAAAGTAGAATGTGGAGGTGGAGGAAACTCATAAATGCTGCCTTGGACTCCTTAAAGGAAAGGTGGGATATGACGAACAAATAAGCAAAACTGAACACCAGTAGCGGATCCAGTTTTTATAGACATCTTTTATATACATTTCTATATACAACTTATAGGGACTGCAGGTGGCGCAGTGGTTTAAACTGCTGTGCTGCTGTGCTGGTTGATTGAAAAGTCGCCAGTTTGAATCTGCACAACAGGGTGAGTTCCCATTGCTCCGTCCCAGCTCCTGCCAACCTTGCTGTTCGAAAGCATGCAAATGCAAGTAGATAAAAAGGTACCACTTCAGTGGGCAGGTAACTGCGTTCCGTGAACTTTGGTGTTTAGTCATGCCAGCCACATGACCATGGAGACTGTCTGCGGACAAACGCTGGCTCCCTCGGCCAGGAAACGGAGATGAGCACCGCCCCCTAGAGTCAGGCATGACTGGACGTAACGTCAAGGGGAAACCTTTACCTATACATCTTATATATTTAAGATTTACGTTTAATATATTCAAATAGTATCAGATTTATAGACTGGATGGATTCTTGGTGATCATTTTGCTTGTTTCTTTGGAGTACAGCCTATTTTGAATATCAACTAAAGGGATAGAGAGATTTGAGGGTTGTGGTAGAATTGATGAAAATGTGGATCCATTGTACTGCAGAAAGGCAAATTCCATGGAGGGCATAACGGAGAAAGGAACGGAATCACCATACATGTGCACAAGTGGAACCAGTGTAGTTAAGAGTGTGGGATTCGGAGGATCCGGGTTCTGGTCCCCACTCAACCATGGAACCCACTGGGTGACTTCGGGTCCATTGCAGACTCTCAGCCCAACCTACCCCACAGGGCTGTTGTTGTGGCATAAGCCTGATGGCAGGTGAAGGGGACTTTTGAGCCATTTTTAGTTCTTTGTAAGAAAAAGGGTGGAATATAATTCTAATAAATAAATAGATTCATGGTGTGAGCATACTTGTGAATACTGGGTGCAGTTCTGGCCTCTAGCTAAAAATGGGGTGTTTTTGAGATGGAAAAAGAGCAGAGGAAAGGAACTAAAACAATCAAAAGGTTGGCGCACCCTGCAGAGGAGTGGCTGCTCTTTAGCTTAGGAAAGAGGCAAGAAAGCAGAAGCATAGCAGAGGTGTACAGACTCAGACATGATTTAGAGGAGTGGATAGGGAGACATTTAGGACCTTCTCCCATAATATTACTCTTGTGGTCCTCCCATGAAGCGGCTTGGTGGGAGATTCAGGACAGATGAAGGGAGATACTTCTTCACTCAGTGCAAGCTGAAACCGCGGCGTTCACTGCCACTCAGTGTAGTGACGGCTAGCAATGTGCATGAAGGAGCCTGGACAAATTCTGGAAGGCCATCAGCAGCTAGTCGTCCTGATGCCTCGGACAGTGTCACAGGCAGCGCCCCATGCACACGGCTGCAGGAGAACGTCGGTGGGAAAGTGCGGTTGCGCTCACGTTCTTCTTCCGGGTTTCTGTGGACAGCCGGCTGTCTGCTGGACTCAGTGGGCCCTTGGCCACAAGGGCTGTTCTTGCATTGTTATGGAATAATGTGCATGAAATCCAGTGGAGCTTCCTCCCAGGTAAGTTGCTAGAGGGCTGCAGCCCCAGTCGTACCGTGGTTCTCCTGCCTCCCACGTCTTTGACAGGAGAAGAAAAATGCCTGCACTTCATAATATTAATGCATTTCTGCCACTTCTGCTTGTGGGTGTTCCCGATACAGTGAATGTGACAAAATCAGCTAATTAAACAAGACTGATATGATGGTATGGACTCTAGATGAGCAATAAAATAATTTTGTACCCACAAAGGAACCTCAGGAACTGAAATAATTAAAACGTTGATGGAAGTTCTAAAGGATTATCATCAGCATAAAGAGCAATAGCAAACCAGCAGAGATAAATAGCTAATATTCTGTAATACTCTGACAGTGCAGTGCTATGCATGTGTATGCAGAAGGCTTGCATAGGGGGAGTGTGCGTGGGAATGCAGCCGCTGAACAAAATTCCATATAAACCCTGCTTGGAGTAGACTCTTCAATATGAGTAAGACTTCAGGTAGGCTGATTCCCCGAGAAGTATTGCAGTGCTGAGAGGGGCTTCTTCCCAGTTAAGTGTGAATTGGAGGCCAGCATTTATATGCATTTAGCTCTGTTTGAGAGATCGGTGCAGCACTTCAGTGTATATTGCCCAGTGGCTGAAAATCATGACAACTGAACAGATGTATCATAAAATAGATTTTGAGGATGCAAAAGGGAGAGAGCCTTTTTGGTGGCAGTCCCCACCCGCTGACTGTGAATGGCCATGCAGGGCAGGGATGATGTAAGTTGTAGTCCAGCACATCTGGAGAGGGCACCAGTTTGGAGAAGGCAAGCTTAGGACAGAGGTGTACAAAGATAAGTTTCCCTACATATGTACCCCCATATGCTTCGAGGTTCACCAAGAAAGATCCTGGTCTTCTGGTGATCATGGTCAGTGCTGCAGGGCCTTTTCCATGGTTGCTCCTTCACTGCGGCCTGGCCAGGCTTTTAGGAAGGAAGCCAGTTGCCTGGACTTTTCAAGCAGCTGCTCTGCATGTATACTTATTGGAATGAGCATCATTTGGAGAACTGGCTTCAACAAAATATGTTTATGCTTGTGCACTATTGTATTAGGATATACGTTCGAATATGCTTATCTCTATAATGGCTGGGGAAAATGGGTTATACATTTTTAAACAGATAAAATTTGAAAACCATAAAGATAGTGGGCTTGAATTTGGCTTTCTTTTAAGCCGTCTCAGACATTGCAGAACAACTGCGCACACAGACGGCGTGTTTGCAAGAGGAAAGCTCAGCCAGTCCCGCCCTTCGGATGAGGATCCCTTTGTGATGCACAGGCGTCCAGCTTTGGCACTTGTCCCTGGCATTTCTCATTCTGGTGCTGGGTTCACCTAAATACCTCCCCATCACCTGTGAAGGGCTGCCTCAAGAACACCCACGAATCACCTCTTGGTTTTGTTCTGCATCTGTAGAATCGCCCTTAGAGACAATTGCCTGCTTTGGAGAACATCTAAAGGAAATTGCCGGAAAAGTGGATGCTCTTCCCTGCATCCACATTATCCCATTTTAATGGGATGCTTTCCCACCTGCATGGGCGTTTGTCATTGCAGAGGCACCTCCTGACACTGTGGCTGTGACCTCTGAGTACCATAAGGGTCGTCTAAAACTTGACATTCTGTTTCTTTCAGGGTTCATTTCTTCTCCATCTTTATTTTCATGGTGTTAATAAGACGTGCTTATCACAGCCTGATATCCCGGACTGATGAATCTAAAGGATAGAACAGGTAATTCTTCATGTGAATATTATTGTTTTCACTGACTCAAGCAGCTTCCATGTAGCCTGAAGTGCATGATCCTGCCTACTCTTGGAAGCTAAGCAGGGTCAGGCGTGGGCAGAAGTGGGATGGGTGACCTGAGTGTATGATTCTATGAGTATTGCTGTCAACTGCCTAGAGAGCTTTGGCTATGGGCAGTATAAAAATGTAATAATAATAATAATCTGATGCCCTCCCTCTTCTCGTTCTCTTCGCTCTTCTCTCTCATTTGTTAAGCAGTTTTATCAGTAGAAATGGAAGGCGTTGCTTGTCCCCTTATGCATGCCCAGATTTTGTAGTTTGTTGTTTGCTTTGAATCCACAGAAGAAAGTTTTAGGACTATGTTTGCATGTAGCTTCTTAAGTCCTGGAACTAATACCCATTTTGGTTATTTTGACAGGGCTTTCCTTCATTGTCATGTTTTAACTATTTCATTTTTTGTTTAGTTTTGTTTTAAACTGTTAGTCATTTGAAGTGATCTTATGGTATCGTAAGGTATTTTACTGTCTTTTTAATGAACTATTGTGAAGCATCCAGAGAGTGTCAGCTCTTGAGTGGCACAGAAATGAATCAGCTACAGTAACGATAAGTGTACCAACAGCCAACTCAGTTTCCAGGTGCTGATTTTTATGTAGACAAGATGATCCAACCTATGCAGAATAGAGAAAGTATCAGCAAGACTGGAAAGTCTGCAGAACTGCTAGAACATATTGAGGGATGAAAGTGAACCTAAGTGAGGAGAAGGACCCCCAGCAGCTCAATACTACTGAGCATACGCAAGGGGCACAGAATGCCGGCTGAACCAGCAGTGGTGGTGACAGAAAACTGGGGAGGCAGGGGAATGGAATGGGAACAGGGAATGAACCCTGTTAGGGCTTGGCTGGCTAGAATCCCGAGCGGGGGCACTGTACAGCACAAGGTTTTGTTGCATGCCCCCGCTTGTCTTGCTGGGGGTACAGTTCCACTGGAACTTAACTTGTGCAAATTTTCAGAATCTGCATTAGTTTTTAGTAAAATTTCAAAGTCCATCATCTGAAGCCGGGCGCAACGCAGGGGCTTCCAAGGCCAAATGTACACTCAGTCTTTCTGAGGTATCCCTGAACAAGTACCGAGCCCATAAATATATTTCTGGTAAAAGGATTAAGCCAACAGCGACCTCTCGTTCACTCACTCATTCACTCACTCCTCACTCACAATACAGGCTCCTGGCTTTCCTTTAAACTTTCTGCTTCTACTTTGCCCAATTTTACTAGTTCTAAGCTCAGAATATCTTTAGAACGCAGAACTGGGAACATTTTAAAAGGAGCACTGTAGCTCATCTACATATTATGCTAGGAGTTTACACATCAGACCTCCGGTGAGCAAAGTATCTGTGCATAATGGCAGTTGGCAATCCAGGTCCTTGCACCAGGAGAGACTTAAGTGCGTGGTTGTGCAATGTGTTCTTTCCAGATTTGTTTTTATTTTAACACAGAAAACATGGAGGAAAATATGTATTTACACATGTCTTTACATACCCATTATATGCACCTATGGAAAATCATATTTTACTTGTCACTCTTGGCTTGAAAAAACGTGTGAGTTCCACCCATGCCTTTTTCTGCACTTGTAATGTGGAACACAGCCAAGGTGTGTTTTACATGGCAGTGCTTCTTTGTGGCTGAGAGCACAGTGTGATACGCAGCAGTTATGTCTGGGGTATCAAATGTGGCCTTGATCCAATGGATTAAAGAGCCGAAGTCTTTTGAAGCAGGGCTGGTGGCAATTTTCTAACTCCATTGCAAAGTCTTTGAAACGGCTCTGTACCCCCATGAAGAGGCTTATGATGGGTGCCTTTTTGGCCAAGAATGCTAAGTACACGGGCAAGGGTTTTGGAAGGGTGTTGATAGGTGCAATCTGGGAGCTATATGTATTTGGTGTTGTTCCATTCTGTGGCATACATGTAGCTCTTGCCGTGCAGTGAAAAATATTTGGTTACACCCACCTAATAAATGTTCCTGGGGCACAGGGTGCGGCGCTGTGGAAGCACCAGCAAAAGTGCTATTGAACTCATGGGATTCCGGTTGATTTGTGAGAGTCAACAGCAGAGGAGGTTTCCAATGGAAATGTTATGATTAGCCCTGGATTTTTCCCGTAGTGGGAGGGTCCTTCATAGCAACCTGGACACTGGTGAAATGCAGAGGGTGTGGGACCTCAGCGTGCCTTAGTTCTTGGGCCCAGCCCATCTGGCAAAGCTGGAACGTGATTTCACATCATTAATCTCATCTGGTGAACCTCACGTAAATCACCAGTGGAGAAATAATTTATTTTCTAGCCACGCCGAGTGTTTTTGATTAGCGCACTCCAGCTGAGGCTCTACCATGTTTCATCCTCCTTTCTCTGCTGCTTTGACACTGAGCACACAATCCTGTGCGTGTTTAGGCAGAAAAATGCCCCACGGCTCCCCAGGCCTTCTGCAGCAAGCCATTCCAGGAAGCGGCAGGACTCCTTCCTGTCTAAACTTGCATCAAATTGCACCTTTAAAGGCCATGTTAAGATTTTGTGATAGAAAAAGGGGGACCTCTTCTCATCTGACATTATGTCTTTCCAGACAATGTTCCAGTCAGGATTTTTATCCTGCCCTTAAAAAAAAAATGCTTCCTTTTCTCCAGGTCAGGTCCGTACATAATCCTTTGAATCCCAAGTTTCCGGCACCAACAGAAACCCATTTTGAAGCAATCCTTGCTGCTAATTTCTTTTATTTTTTGAAGTGGTGGGGGCATGGGCACCATGAACAATGCTGAGAGGAGCATCAAGGGGCACCATGCTGCCTGTCCATCTTCTAGATAGAGTCTCTTTCATTTACAACGCATCCTCGAGTTGCTGGTTTGCAAGTCTGGCTGCCTGAACTCTTTTCAGTCCTCCTGTGCAAAAGGTCTGGCACCAAAGCTCTCACGGAGAGGGGATGCTAAATAGCCCATCAGCTATGAAAAGCTCACTTCCTAAGGCTACTGAAAAATACGGGACAGCTGCATCTGAAGGCTCCAGAGCCTTTGCAAAAACACATAGATCTTCAAAGAGCACACTCTAGACTGTGAAACACCAGGCACCGTCCCCTCCTGGAGCTTTACCTGTGCCAAGAGACTAGCAGGCAGGGTAAGGATGATCATCCTGTTCTTGCCACTGCTTTAAAAGGATTTCCTACCCAGTGGGCAGCTTAGTCACCTACCTGCAGACACGACATTGGGACATATCCAATATTAGCACCACTGAGAATAGAGCCATTGGAATGCATTGGACTTCAGTTAAACTAACATTGGATATAACCAATAGTTAATGGACTAGTTATCAACAACTACAGTCCAACCATCTAAACAATTGGTTTCATTTTTTTAAGGGAACTGTTTTGCCTATTTTATGGATTTTTTAAACCCACCCTGAGCCAGGGACAGCTCAATAGACAGCCAACAAAACCACCAACGAGTATGTGATCAAGTGCTGGTTTCATAGTATGAAGCAGTGTTCTCGCATGTCTCCAACAATATAACCATTCATCTTCTTGCATCCCAGAACTCTGCATTGTGTAAACGAGCTGATGGAGGAAGATGAGAAGGACAGGGCAAAGAGGTATGAATAATGGGCTTGCAGCGTCCCAAGTAGAGCTAAGAGCCGTTATGTTAACGATCTGAAAACCCAGCACAGGTAACTGTGCATAAGCATGTCCTACAGGATTGCCATGTCCGGCCAACCAAAGTCAGAGCTACAAATGAAGAGACTTCTCTTTTCTTGTTTCCTGTGCTGCAGGAGAGCAGGTTTCAGAGCTCATAAAATTATGTTCATTTTTATCATGCATACAGCCTCTGATTCCCGGGGAACAGAAATTAAGGGCTGAAGAAGCAGATAAATTGTATAATTGAGGAACCCACACCTTTCACTAGAATTTGGGGTGGGGGTGTTTGTAGCAAGCCCTTCTGCCAAAAATGTTACTGTTTTGCTACATCAGGCCAAGTGGGATTGTCTGGCATTTTATTTGCTTTTTAAAGGTACAATGCATGTGAACAGGAGGAGTTGGGGTGCTCTCAGTTGCAGGTTTGATTGCAGCTCCTCTCTGCCTCATTTGCAGAAGCTTTATGGGCTTTTGCCTTCCTCTCCTAACCCCCCCCCCCATGTTTTCCTACCACTTCTTCCATGATTATACTTACTGCAGAAAACTCATTAAGGAAAAAACGGCACACCCATGCATTGCCTCCCAGCTCATGGCGCTACAGCCCCTGCATCTGGAAGTGCCCTTTATTTATCTGTCATGGATAAGTGGTCTGGACCTGTTCAACAGCTGGTCCACCTTCCCCTCCTTATTTTCAACACACTTCCGTATTTTGCTCGGCTAGGGCATCGCGCAACAAGTCAGAGAAGAAAAGGAGAGACCAGTTCAATGTCCTTATTAAGGAGCTCTGCACCATGCTCCAAGGCCACGGCCATCCGCTCAAGATGGACAAGTCCACGATACTGCAGAGGACCATCGACTTCCTACAGAAACAGAAAGGTATGTGAACCACATGCAGGCTCCATCATGCCGCATCCCTTCCCAGAGGGAGCATCATCATCATGTTTGCTGCTATGTATTGCTCTTGTATTGCAAGGGTGAAAAGAAACCCGCTAGTGTTCCCCTCCAGACCAGTTTGCTTCCTCTAAGAAAGGCAGGCAGGCAGGCAGGCAGATGGACATACTGTAATTCTGCAGCAGGATAGAATGTATGTATTTCAGAGAGAAAGATACCTTAAACTAAGAAGTAGTTCTTGAAATTGGTATAAGGGAAAAGATAGCCCAGTACTTTCCAAAGAACCCCTTTGAAAGGGCCACAGGACTATTTACGGGGAGGCATCAGGGCCACTTGCTGGCCCTTTGGAAGTGGGGCCTCCTGCCCTCGTGGCCCCACATCTTGTCCACATGGTCCTCAGGAGGGGCTCCTGCCTCCGGACTCTGCAGAAACGAGCATCCTCTGGCTTGCTCTGTGCTCCTCCCTGCTTCGTTGCCTCGAGGAAGCAAGAGCCTGCAGGAGACACTGCTGGTCCTTGCGTCGCCGGAGGCAGCATGAGGAGGGGCAGAGTTTCTGGAGGGACTCTCCTGGCCTGGCCCGGCCCGAGTAGCAAAGCCAGCCTGTGTCTCCCAGGCACTGTGGACTCTCTTGTCAGTTACCTAGCTGTAGGATCACTGACCAAGGTCCTGAAACTGAGCCACAGTTTCAGAGCGACCCTGCACTTCCTTGCCTGAGCCCTGGGACTGGATAGGTTTCTGGGCAAGCGTGGGCGGGGGCTCCACAGCCCCTCTGCAGCACCCAAAGAGTTTAATTCTGCTGGGGAGAGAGCCAGTGTGGGGCAGTGTTAATAGCCTGGGATTGGGGCTCAGGTGACCCGGGTTCTAGTACTCTCGCAGCCATGGAGCCAACTGGGATACTTGGGGCCAGCCCCAGACTCTCAGCCCAGCCTACCTTTCAGGGTTGTTGTTGTGAGGATAAGATGGAAGCAGCAGGAAGAGATTGGTGCAAGTTCCTTGGAAGTAAGGCAGGCAGGAAGCAAATGAATAAATGTGAGCCCCATCATGCTCTGTACTGCCAGGCTGCTGCCAAACTGTGAAGGCAAATGGGCGATTTTGGCTTTTGGGGTGCACCCCATGGGCTACTCCCTGCAGGGCAATGGCTCCTGTGCCTCTGAAAGTCTCCCACCTCTGCTTTGCCAACGGCCACCTGCTCTGACTGGCAGAGGCTCTGCTGAGTCCCCAGCAGAGGTCTTTGCTGTGACCACAGAGGCTGGACTGCCAGCAGGGCCTTCTGCATTATGCTCCTTTAGGAGTGCTTTGGAAAGCATTTGGACCTGGGGAAGGAAGCGGGAAAAGCCGCATCTCCAGCAATGGCTGTGCGGCAAAAGGGCTGCGCAGCCTTCCATGCTGGACTGGGAACTGTGCAAGCAGCAGGTTCCAGTCTGCATGGCTGGAAAAGGGGGCGCATTGAAATGCGCTCCCTTGCTGAAACTGTTTTGCGACCCAACGGCCCTTCATGTACTTGTCACCAGAACTGGACTCCTCTGCCACCTCCTGCTCCCTTCCCACACCTGTTAGTTTGGCAATTAATTCTGGTGGATTAACTTCATAAGAACATAAGAAGTGCTGTTCTGGATCAGGCCTTAAGGCCCATCTGGTCCAGCCTTCTGATTTCATTTCATTTCTATACCACCCAATTGGCAAAGGCCTCTGGGCAGGTCATGAAAACTCCAAAGCAGAAACAGTACACAGGAAGGTTCCAAAATGATTTAAAATGGCTACAAAAGCCAGGATCCGATAAAACAAAAATTTTAGACTCTAAAATCTCATTGTGTGTGATTTGATGCCTGGGAATAGGGGGCAGTCTTAGCCTGGCACCAAACATGGTAGGCAAAGTTCAGCAGGCAGTTCATTCTGCAGTCAGGGGCCACCCCTGAGAAGGCAGTGCTGTCTTTTCTGTGGTTGTGCTCACTGCCCAGGGAAAACTACTTATAAGTAGTGAGGTCTTCAGTTGCCAACGGCAGGCAAAACAGAGCAGTTGCCCCTTGCAGCAGTGCTCTCCTTGTCTGCATTTACATGCATGTGGTTGAATACGGACACACCATTCAGAGACAACCTGTGTTCATGGAGTGGTTCTCTGCTTGCTCTTTTCCCTTCCAGAAATCACAGCACAGACTGAGGCTTGCGAGATCAGGCAAGACTGGAAGCCTTCATTTCTTAGCAATGAGGAGTTCACCCAGTTGATGTTAGAGGTAACTTGTTCCCCTGGATTGCACAAACTCAAAAGGGAGGTGAGGGGATGACATGCCCAATGCTGTGTGGATGATGGACCCAGGATTTGGTCGGCCCTTGGGCAAGGCAGAATCAGTGCTTCTCTCTCTCTTCATGAGCTGATATTTTGGTCAGTGTTGGCAGATGTTCAGCTCTTCTTCCCCAACTAGGCTGCCCTTTGTATGCTTGGACTGAGCAAGGAGGCCCTGGGACTGGCCCCTGCTGGCTTTTCACTGCCCCTGTGGCCTGTGCCAGGGTGAGGGGCTGGGGCATCAGCAGGCTGTACTGGTGAAAAGGTGGAGCAGGTCCAGGAGGGTCTTGTTCATGGGCCCCCAGCTGCAGTGTGGGCTCTTGCAGGATTCCCTCTTGCTGTTGCCTTGACCGCTGGACACAAGGTGTTGCATCCTTTTGGAAGGAGAGATAAGAGCTCCTCTGGCTCGAAGCAGACAGTCCTGGGAGCAGCTTCATGTTTAAGGCACTCTGGTGTCAGTTTCCTGCTTCAGTCTTCTGCCGAAATGGACAGGAATCCATATGGGTAGTGCCCAGCTTTGCTGAATACTTCAGCGATGCAATTTGGGGCCCAGATACTCCGTCTTATTCCCAACGCTTTATTCCCAGCCATCGCAGTGGTGCCTGAAGAGTTACACAGCTCTGCTTTGCATCCGTGTGCTTGAGCTCCAAGGCTGGCCCAAGATACTTCCTTGCTGAAGACAAGGTGGTCCTCTTTCAGTTCCCACCAGACTCGCAGATTAATCTGTCTTCAACATTATGATAACAGCGCCCTCTTTTTGCACCTGGAGGCAGCAGGATACCTTGGGGAAGAGCCCTGACACGCTGGTCCCTTCCGCAAGACCGCGTCCCCTCTCAATTTCTGTCAATTCTTCACCATGCCTAATGGCAGGACCAGATTTCTCACCATCCCTAAGTCAGAGCTATTTTTGAGTCCGCCCACATGCTTTTTGACATATGCTTTGAATCCTCCTTTGCCATGGTCTAAGGGGGAAAGACATTTTCTGTAAATTTTGATGGAAGAATGGGCATCCATTGCGTTTTTCTTCGCGTCCTTGTTTCTTTGCTTCTGCCTTCACCACCAGAGTTTGAGGGTGTGCGCTGGCCTAGAATTGCAGCATCTTGATTATTTCCTTCTCCTAGAGATGCGATGACTCACCTTCTTTGGAAAAATCTCTCTGTTTATCTCTATCCACAAAAGCCTCTTGTTTATCTCTATCCACAAAAGCAAGTCAATCCATTGCAATTTAATCAAAGCAGGCTCCAGCCTTTGAGGAGACTTCAGGTACAGATGACTACTTCACAAAACATCCCTCCTGATCCTCCTGGACATTCTATTTTTAATGTTCTTTTAATGAGCCCCTTGTCTGACTTGATGGGCAAAGAATATGAGTGTACAGAAACCCTTGAAGACTGGAAAGAAGGGATGCTGAATGCCATGTCACTGTCTTGCCTCTCTCTCATGTTGGCTCCTTCCTGGCCTGCAAGAAAACTACACAGTTCACAACCTGAGAAGGCATTGCTATCCCTCCCTCTGTGCCCTGCGAGAGGAGAATGGGAAAGATCTATAGCCCCCGGGATGCCTCCCAGAAGCTGTATCAATTGCAGCTGTTGTGTACTCTGAAAACAAAGCGGTCTCCAGAAATATAATAGCTTGACATGTATTTTAAAGCATTTTAAATGTTTTTCAAAGAGTTTGTTTTTTGAGCACTACAATATGCACATCACATTGCATCACCCACCTGTTGCCTGATTGAATTATTTCTATGCATATTTGTTGCTGAATGCACTGTGATAAACATGCATCGGATTAGGCTATATAAACTGTAAACTTGAACAGTCTTGCCAGCTTTCACTGAAGATGTAATTTTCGTGTGTGTGTGAAAGAGAGGCGGGGGGGAGAGAGAGGGAGAGAGAGAATCTCCACATGTCTAAATTATTATTTCTCCCCCTCAGGCACTGGATGGATTTCTCATTGCACTTACCACTGATGGGATTATTATTTATGTATCTGATAGTGTCTCTTCTCTTCTTGGACATTTACCGGTAAGTTCTAACAACATCATGCCTGAAAGCCACTTGTCCTCTGTTAGAATGTCAGTATGGAGATAATGCATAAGCAATTTTCAGACAAAAGATTTTCAGAGTCTCAAATGAAACTGCATTGATCTATTTTTGCTCAGAGCTTGAGAAAGGTAATAAATAGAAAGAAATGCGATGAAATGCATTGCGAGGGGTTGCTCCAACCCACTGTGCTTTTTAGAAGCATTACCCGTCTCTGCAGACCCTTTTTGCACAGTGCAGCAGAGCAGGTGGGAAAAACAACAGTGTCTTCACCAGGATTAAGAATGGCCTTGCATACTGCCTTCAAGGGTGCAGCAAAGCTATCAGCCCAGTGGTGGACTGAAATTTATTTCTGTGTGTGTCAGTGTGAGTGCCAGGGCTCCAGTTCCTGCTCATCCATGAAGCTCTCTGGGTGACTTGGGACCAGTCACAGACTTCAGCCAGCCTACCCCACAGGGCTCTTGTGAGGACAACTGAGAGAAAAGGAGGACTATGGAAACTGTCTTGGGTTCCTTGAAAAAGGGAAAAAGGCAGGATAGGACTGGCCTGGCCTAGAACAGTAATCCCGGAGGAGCAACAGTTTGCTGTTGGCAAGACGCCCCACTCTGCTGCAAGGGGGCTGGGACTCGGGTCTTAGTCCACATGAAGTCCAAGCACTACCACAACCGGCAGTAATCCACTCCATGGAACAGCTCTGGCTCACTCACAAATTACGATGCTTCTGCAAAGACACTCCCCAGGTAGAAAGCCTTCCTCCACAGGCTGACCTCTGGTCTTTTTGGATTTTACCTTCCATGAATCCCTGGCCATTGCTCGGGGATTCTGGGAATTGCGTTCTAAGTGTCTGGAGGACACCAGATTGGAGAAGGAGGTGCTAGATGCCCTCCACATATGATTCCCAGTGCTCAAGAACCCCCATCCCCGTATGTGTTAGAAGTCAGTAATCATAACTTTGCTGATGGCGTGTGTGTGCTGTTCCTCTCGTCTGAGCGTATGGAAGATATTTCTCTAATTAACTGTGCTCGGGAACAAGTGTTTTTCCAAAAGAGGTTTAGATGGCTTGACTGCCTTTTGTGGCTGAGCAAAACTATCTGTTTTCTAAGGATGCTTTTTAAAGTCGCCACATTCTTTTTTCAAGTACAGCTAGAAGCTCACATTTTTTGTTGATGATATTCAGTTGAGCCCTACTTTGCCTTCTTATTCTGCATGCCTTCCTTTGAACAGATTTCCCTAGTTATTGGCAGAGTGACAGAGTGTAGCATCAAAGCAGCCGGCACTTTCAATCTTGCCTTCGATTTCTGTCTATCCACTTGCATGGTGATTTTTTCCTCCATTTTAATTAGTGGCAAAGCATTTTCTTCTGTAGTCTAGTAAAGGGAATGTTGACCTGGAGATCTGGGTTGCCCTGAACTTGTTAATTCTTAAGCCATAGTCCTATTCGTGTTTAGGAAGAAAAATAGTCATACAGGAATGTTTGGAAGTGTACAGAAAACTAGGATGCAAAGGAGGAGGCTAGGCTAAATCTACTTGTGATGATTATGGGAATAAGGAACGTGTGCGAGCCTTCCTGAAGTCATCAGGGTTTATCAGCACATAGGTTTGGAGCTTTGCCTCCATTTTAGGCAATGGCAAGTGAGGTGGCGCCCCACTTATGGAATACGCCCCCCCCAGAGAGGTCCGCCTGGCGCCGTTGTTATTTGTTTTTTGGTGCCAGGCAAAGACCTTTTTATTTAAAACTTTTTTAATTGTTAATTTATTATGTATTTATAGGTTTTAAATTTTTTAAGCCGAGATGTTACCGGGTTTTTTAAATTTTTAATTGTATTAATTTGTTATTTATATGTTTTAATTTTGTGAGACGCCCCGAGACTTTGTTGCGATAGGGGCAGCATAGAAATGTTTTAAATAAATAAATAAATATTAGACAATGAAAATGCTTAGCACTAGTGCTGCTTTGCTAAAGCCTTCAGAAAGTGTGTCTGCATAGCTTGCTTTGAGGCGGTTCAGTGCAGTATTGAATGGTGTCTTGCACAGGTGAGCTTGGATCACAGATCTGAAGCACCAACAGACCATTCAGCAATGGATGTTGTTAAACAGAGACAATTTCACACACCTGGCTGAGGGTCTGCAAGTCCTGAGTGATCAAGCAATGCGGGACTAAAATACGCATGTTTGTGAGCTGTGTGTGTTGTGGTTGTTGTAATAATCTGCCATTGAACATGACAAAGCATTCTTTTGCATCAGTCAGATTTGGTGGACCAAAATATATTAAACTTTCTGCCCGAGCGTGAGCAGAGCAACGTGTACAAGCAGCTTTCTCCACACATGTGCATGACTAACCCTGTGGCAACAGATTTTCTGAACAGTAAGTACCGTTTTGTTTGTTTTGGTTTTTACGGGAAGGAGAAGATCTGCACAGGCAAAACAAGGCTTCTGCAGCTTGCTCTAGAATGTATGCATAGGAACAATCATTTTGAGAATGTGAGTACACAAAAGGAGTCCTGCTGAGTGGAAGCAAATGTCCATGCAGCCCAGCATCCTGCTTCTCCCTTGGGGATGTCCACAAGCAGGACAAGGAGGCCAAGAGGCCTCACCTGCTGATGTGAGTTGACAACTGTCTCTACACAAGGAGTTTAGGTACTTGAGGAATAGAGAAGTCCTTTTTTGAATCTGCCTGAATCTCCCAGCAGAGGTGACCTACTTCTAGAAGAAAGGGAGAAAAGCCTATCTCCCTGTGTAGCATGCACAGTTTTATAAACTCATACCATGTCCCCCTTTGCTTGCCTTTCCTTCCTGTTCTAAAAAGCCCCAAACACTGTAAGCATGCCTGGTAGGGAAGCTGCTCCAGCAGCCCCCTCCTCATTTGGTTGCCTTCTATTCCAGGTCTGTGATGTCCCCTTTTGAAGTGTAACAACCAGGACTCCACATCCCACATTTTTAGAAACCTTTTCCAAGAACACAGCAGTCCCTTATATGGGGTTCCTATATTACCCTACTGATGGGGAAGCTGCAGTTGCACCCTTTTTCCCATGCGACCGAGGTACCATGAGAGCTGCCCTCGAAGTCACAGCATATGGGAAAGCCTACGATGCAGATTTGTCCCCTCACCAGCCCAGCCCAGTTTCCACAAGAGCATCCCTCTATGGGTGCGTTTCTCTCACATGACCTGGGGTTGGTCGTGTTACCCCCGCCATGTGCAAAGGAGTAGTGTCATTGTTTAAATATTTTTAAATATGTCATTTAATAATATAAAATACACTACTAAAAGGCAACGCTATAAATATAAAAATATATCAGAAAGAAACATCATAAAGGGAAAAAAGAACAACACAAAATACGAAAAAAGGAGTAGTGTCGTTGCTTTTCACACCACCAAGGTACCACTTTTAGGCGCTCATCTTCTTCTTGCCAGATAAGCTCAGCCTCTGACAAGGGAGACTGTCTGCAGCTTATTGCTCATATAATTACTGATTAAGCCTGCAGAACTGCCCCTCACTAGGCCTTAAATGGTACCCAGGGCCTGTTTGGGCTTGGGCTTCTTGTCCTCCATTTCCACCTCAAACAAGGTTGTATAACCTGCAGACTGAGCGACACTGAGTTAAGCTAGAATTCTTACTGAAGACCTAGCAGAGATGCTTATGGACTGCAACGATCCCTGGATAAGGCACTAGCCAGTGCAGCCTATAGTCTTCCTTTCACCACAACATTTAATCCTTTTTCATGGAAATTGGAGGTGAAACTGAAAGAGCTGTGGAACAGCGGAACCCTGTTGAGTTCCCTCCGAGGGACAACAGCTCCAAGCCTCAGAGGCATCCCAGGATTCTGTGTCCTGGCAGGCTGGTGGGAACACCCCTGTTTGACCCCTGCAAGGTTGTCCGTGGGAGCTTTTGCTGAAAGTGCCTGTGAGGGAGCAGGGGAAGGGATCAGAAGCAAGATTCCCTTCCCAAGCTCATGCCGCTATCCACAGCTTTGGAAAGGGAATACTAAAAATGCATGGTCCTTGGAATATGTATTGTATTTAAAACATTTCTGTACCAGCAAGATTGGTTTCAGGGAGGTTAACACAAATAACACTTGTCAAGAAGAAACAGGTCTCTTAGTTTGCACGTTTGTCATTTTGGGGGTGTGATTCACTTTTCTAGATAGGTAGGTAGGAGTGGAAATCTGGAAGGGTTAGGTACAGAACTATGCATAAATTCCCTTAAAACTGATTTTTTGTTATTCCTCTTTTTCAGCTGAAAAGCAAATAGAATTTTGCTGTCACTTAGCCCGAGGAAATCTAGACCCAAATGAACCCATTACATATGAATATGTGAAATTTGTAGTGGATTTCAAATATTTTACTCATGGTAAGCTGTTCTATTCTCATTCTCCCTCCCTCCCTCCCTCCCTCCCTCTCTCTCTCTCTCTCTCTCTCTCTCTCTCTCTCTCTCACACACACACACACACACACACACACACATGTTCATAAGTGTTAAAAAATCCCTTACCTTTTCAAGGCTATCTTTAAGAAAGCAGTAATAAAAACTGTTCTGGACACACCTGTTTCTCTGCAGGGAACATCTGCCTTCCTTCTTCCCTATTGCTGCAGAATCAAGAAAGGAAAAAAAATAAGACATTTGCATTTCATCTGTCGATCCTCTGCAGGAGATGGTCCACGTGTAATAGCTCATTGCAGGCTTAGATGAAACTTCATGAAGTCCTCGTATAGGTTCCTGAGGCTGTTCACAGATGCTTTGAGAGAATTGTGGGGTCGGGTCACTCTGCCGCTCCCAGTGGAAGGGAATAGGTGTCTTTTGCCCATCCATTTCTCCTCCTTCAGCCGCCGGAAGTCCCCACCAGAGGGGTGAGGGATTCGCCAGAGCAGTTCTTCAGATGGCATAAGCAGCTGTGCAAGAAGGACGAGCATTTGGCAAACAGGAGATTCCCCTCCTGGACTTAACACTTCCCTAGTTAACATAAGCAGCCCTTCCAGAACATGAAGCATGCGGCCAGCCCATCATTGCCTGTGACAGACATGGCTTCTAAAACATGCTTGACCAGAGATTATAACATGGGCAGCCACCTTCAAGACCCTTGATAGTTTTGCTATCCTTGGCTGTGCTCTGAATATAGAATAACTCATTCCTTGTATAATGAGGCTGTGAATATAAGATAGAGAATCAACACATCTTGTTATTCCCATGACAGCTGTAGGTATTATAAATAATCTTCTCTGAAGCCTCTCAGGTTAACTACCTGTCCACCAGTAGCACTGTGGAATGAAAGCTGAAAGGTAAACCCCCAATCCCAGACTGGGAGGGGGTTATTACGCAGATATTTTTTTTACTGGAATAACCTCTAATATTCACTGATCCCCACACTCTTTTAAAGCATTTAAATGCTTCATGGAAATTAAAAGACAGCACAATTGGTTCTCCACTCCCTTTTGGCAGCTAAAATACTGACATGGCAGCAATGGAAGGATAGACACTCACTTCCTATAATGCAATGGACTGAGGACTTTTCTTGATTCCTACACATAATGGCTAGAAAACTGGATGCATTTTGTTCAAATCCATGTATGTGTCTTAGAAGCTGGGGGAAAATCTGGCACCCATTGAAGGTCTCTTTGTGTGCACTCGGAGGTGCCCACACAGGCTGCCTTGAGGACTTCGGGTCCACTTGCCATTAGTCTTTTTCTGAAGGAAGGATATTAATGATGCTTTCAATTTAGGCTTTTGTGCTTTATTCATGGAATTTTGGGGTTTTCCAAACAACAGTGTCTTCCTCTCATAATCTTCCTGTGTTTTCCTCTAGTGGTTCTGTACCTTATGTAGAAAAGATTTTTTTATATAATTCTTTTAATTGACATTGCACTGTCTTCTGGCTGCTTCTGTCCTGGAGCAACTATGATGCAGTCCAGACAAAAAAGTTCAAGTTTGACTAGATGGCTGCCATCTGCATGTGAAATTAGAGTTGTGCACATCTATTGCTTGCACATTTTTAAATTTAGAGAAAGAAATTAGGATGTTGTAAAATTTTGCAGTGAAATGAATGCAAAAGGAAATAAAATAGTTAATTTTGCTGGAACAAGCACCATTCATGTAAAAATATGCAAGCTTTGAAGTTACACAGAACTCTTCTGTCAGATGCAGCTTGCCTCAACAAACGCCTTGAACCTCTGGAATTTCATATTTGTATGTATGGGTCAGCAGTGGTTCTAACATGCAGTATGTATACTATGGAATGAAGTCAGCCAAGCATTCAACACAGCGGAGAAATTGCATTCAAGCCCCTTTTTTCTCCTCCTTTTCTTCTGTTCTCCACTTGGCAATATTAACAGCATTCAAAAGTTGTTTTTTCCTCCTTTCACCCACAATTCACTGCGACCTCTTCATGGCCTATTTCAGAATATCTCCCACAATAACAATGCTGCACCAAACATTTCTGAAATAATCTCTCCTATAAAAGAGCTGTTGTTGTGCTGGATGTTTTAAAAGAGAAGCTTTTACTGGCTTGCTTGTACTGGCACTGGGCCTGCAATGCTGTCTTCCAGAAAGGATGATGGATTTACAACCAAAATAGACAGGAAGGTTTTAGAAATGTTGTCTTTGCAAAAAGGAGGGAGGGGGCCATCACCTGGTTTCATGTGAATCCTTATTTTGCTATTTTTGTCTTTAGTGCCTGCATCTTCCTATAATGGCTTTGAGTCTGCCATTGCCCGGGTGTTCCGATCAGCCAGTGAAGAGCAGATCTGTCTAGTGGCAACGGTTCGCCTCGTCACCCCACAGTTCTTGAAGGTGCCAGTCTCTCTGATCAATATAGCAATGACATCACAACCTGACGGGCTCGGCCACGGGCGAGCGAGCCGACGCTGTGCTGGGTGTGCTCTAGCATTCAGCAAAACATCCAGGAGCAGGGGTGTTGAGGGGGGCTTGAGAAAGCTGGTCTTTGGTGGGGTTGATTTCCCATAAACAAAGCAAACAGCAACTCCTTGCGCAGGGAAGATCAGCATGCCGGGGAGGAAGGTTTGGCTAGAACCCCTTCTCTCTAATATGTTGACTTTAGGCACAGTTTTTTAAAAATAAAACCAAGATCTTAAAAGGAAGGGAGCAGCATTCCAAAATGTGTTCCCTTAGCTACAGGAATGGTGCTATCCCAAGGTACTGCATGGGAGATTTGGACCTATTTCGCACAAACAGTAGACAAGTGGTACTTCTCCATATTATCAGTGGGGCCGTGCATTATTGAATGGGATGCTCATCCACCAATAAAAAGAACAAATATTTAAAATGTCCCTGTGAAAAGAAAGCTACCATATCTGGGAGAGGGGTTCTAGAAGAGCCATGTCCCTGACATACTAGTGTGGTGAGAGCCAGTGTGGTGCAGTGGTTAAGAGCGTGGGACTGGGACTCAGAGGATCTGGGTTCTAGTCCCCGCTCGGCCATGGAGCCAACTGGGTGACTTTGGACCAGTCACAGACTCTCAGCCCAACCTACCTCACAGGGTTGCTGTTGTGGGGATAAGATGGAGGAGGAGAATGATGTAAGCTGCCTTGAGCCCTTTGCAGGAAAAAGGCAGGATATAAATTGCAGTATAAATAAATACATACGTACATACTAGATTTCTAGTTCAGAAACTCCCCTTCTCTCCGCCACCCTTATCTCAGCCAGAGCAAGAGCGGCTCCTGGGGCTTCCAGCAGTGGACCCTGGGCAAATGCCCAACCATCCCTACCTGCAGCACCACCTCTGATCACAAGGCTTACTGGAGCAAGATTTTCTGCAGCTGATTCATGGCGGCACTGGGTCCCTGGGTTATAATCACACCTGTAATACAGAGTCCCTCCATGGTTAAGGTGACTCAGCCCTTCTAACAGGGCCTCTAGAATCAAAATAGGTTCACCTTTGGGGAATGCAGTTTGGAGGGATCACATCAAAGCAAATTCAGTTGAACAACTCTTTGTTTTCCAAGAGTTGCATTTAAAAAGGGGGAAAAGAAGAGAAGGGAGGGAGGATGGAAGGGATGAAGGCGGAAATAACCCCACCTTGTCATCTGTTTCTGCAGGAACTTTGTAATGTCGAAGAACCCTGTGAAGAATTTACATCAAGACATAGCCTGGAATGGAAATTTTTATTTCTAGACCACAGGTGAGATGGATGTGTTGTTACTGAGCAATCCGTTTTGAAGTGGGGTATGTGGGAGATACCCTGGGATTAAGAGAAGTATACAGATAGAGGAGTTAATGAGGGACAAGCTTGTCTTCTTAACTCCCTGCCATGGGCTGGATTAATCATTAGGTTAAGTAAGCTACAGAGCATTAAGATTGCCACGTTGAGTCAAGCAAATATTTATCTAATTCTGCGATCTCTCTTTTCGCAACTTGTGTGGTTAATCTCCAAGATTGGAGAGCCAGAGGTTAAGGGTTGGAGTTTAGGTGACCTTCTGCTGGTGGCAGTGTCCCTTATATTGGCACAAAGGGCTTCTCTTCAGATCACCATTACTCTGAGCTTAGTCAGAAACACTAAGCTAAGTTTTCTCAGCTTCCTGTGGCCATGAGGCTCCTAGAGTAATTGTTCTCTTTCTTTCCTGTGATGTTGAACTTGTCCAGAGCCACTCCCAAAGCGTTACCCTGAAATTTTATCATTTGGATGGAGGAAGCAAAAGGGAATGCTTCCCCACAATTTCTCATGACCTGGAATCATATAAAATGCCAACATGCTCTCTGTTGGTTTGGGGGGAAGGTTGATTAAAAAGAGTGCTTTCCGAGCTGAATAATTTCGTAGCATAAGAGGCAGTGTGCATGCTATTCAAGCAATGAGGTTAATGCACCTGCCAGATAGTTTCTCATACTGCTCCAGTGACAGATTTAATGGGAAACCACATCGTGTATGCTTCCTTGTGCTATCCCATGGAAAGATTTTGGCTGTTGCTTCTGAAAATCCATTAGCAAGTAGCTTTTCATTCTAAGTCAATTGTGGTTCTTAAAAATAAAAAAGCAAAATACTAAAACTTGTTAGTTTCACTTTGGAAACACTGGCAAATGAGAACAGAGCAATCCCAATTCATGTTGAAATTGCTAGTCTGCTTTTGAGATTGTCCAGTACATAGAAATGTAGAAAAACCCTGCTGGAATAGGCCAATGGGCCATGTAGTCCAGCATTCCATACCCGCAGTGCCAACTGACTGCCCACAGGAGCGCTCAGGAAGGATGAGTGCAGGGCCTTTATCTGCCGGGCTGTTGGCATTTCACCCTGCGCTTCACATGCGCTGCGTACCAGATCTGAGAAAGCAAACATGGGCAGCACTCACATTGCCGACTGGGTTTTGTCTCAGAGGAAAATAGTTTAAAACTTCCGGCTGGCACCCTCAGGGTTCTTTTCCATGCCTGGTGCAAATAGGATGTCACATGCATTTCCCATAACATTTCCGGTATTAAACGAATCTACTGTGATTCTAAGAACTGGTTTTCACAAAATACTTCACATGCTACTTGGGACGCATGGGCTGCCGTAGAATCATCAGCCATGACGAGAAACCACCTTGAGCAAGTTTACCTGATGCAAATAGTCATGCGGGTAGTTAGGCCAGTCCTTCCAGCATGCAATCAGCATGCACAGTGGGGGAAATTTGGCGCTGTGGCTTATTTTCCCAACCAGGATCATCCAGACTGAGTCAACAAATGTGTGAAACAGGAATAAGCTATGTCTGGTATAGTTGTTCAACTGAATCAGATTGGTTTTTATTTATTTATTTTATTTATTTTTCGATTTATATCCTGCCTTTTTTCTACAAAGGGCTCAAGGCAGTTTTCATCATTTCCCTCCTCCATCTCATCCCCACAACAACCACCTTGTGAGGTAGGTTGAGCTGAGAGTCTGTGGCTGGCCCAAAGTCACCCAGTTGGCTCCATGGCCGAGCGGGGACTAGAACCCAGGTCGTCTGAGTCCCAGTCCCATGCTCTTCACCACTGCACCACAGCAACAGCCTTTGCAGGGTAGTGGTTAGAGTGCTGGACCTGGGACTCAGGAGATCCGGGTTCTAGTTCCCACTCAGCCACAAAGTTTGGTCTGGCTACAGACTCTCAGTCCTCACTACCTTTACAGGATTGTTGTGAGGATAAAGCTGAACTGTTGTATCAAACACAGCTCATCCTGGCTTGTTTAGGAGTGCCAGGAATCTTGGCATCGTGTGGGCAAGAAGGCTACAGTTCTTGTGTGAGTGTGTGTTTGCTCATCCTCTTTTTTTCTGGTCCCTTTGTACCGTGTGTCCATTTGTTCCATTTTTTCCAGCAGCACAAGAACACATTACCATTTCTGTATGAGTGGTGCCTGCAATTTAGTTGAGCTCTTTCATACCACGCTGAGTCACCAGTTTCCTATTTGGAAATCCTAGCAAGAACATCCAATCCCAAGCAGGACAGGAAGTTACAAATATCCTGAACAATGAACATGCTGAAGGGCCACGCTTTTCAGGTTGCATGGCTAATATGCCCGTGCATTATTAAATCTTGGTTTGGTAACATTTCTTTCTCTTTTTTCACTTGAAGGATATGGTCCCTTTCAACAGTGCAGACAATTGTGAAGCACTTCCCTGCTTCTCCCAACATCTTTCTTTCAGGAATACTTTAGCAATATGATTCCGATTTGTATAGTGCCTGAAAAAAGGCAGTTTTTCTTATTTAGAGAAGTCGGGCGTTTTGGAAGGATAATTCTGGCAAAATGTTTGCAGGTGTCAGCTGAAAAACATTTGCAGTGCATTTACTGAGAAGGCCCACCGAGTTCAGTGGGACTCATACCCTAATAAGTGCATTCAGGACTACAGTGTACCTTCTGATGGCAAACATTTGTTGTGGATCAGAGCAGTGGAAAGATCCAAGAAGCTGGATAACCTGTCGACCAATGTAGGCAAGCACTGAATGACGGACAGCCATCTGAGGAGGACAGTTTAACCTGGAGTAGTGCCCTGAGCAGGGGTCAGATCCAATGGCCCTTTGGCCCCTTCCTACTCTACAATTCTATGATTCTGTGCGGCTCCTCGAAGTGTTAGGTAGACCTTTTCACCTGCTTTCTTACCTGAGAAGCTTTCTCCTAGTTTCTGCTTTAATGGAGCATGTGGTTCCTTTCCATGAGGGGACAGCACATGGTTTGGACTGTTGCTAGCTTCTTCTTTTTACACAGTGTAGTAACACTGCACTTCACACACAACCTTGGGTAAGAAACAGAAGCCACTTTTCCCTGGTCGTTCAGAGTGGTTGGATCAGTCACTCTGCCAAGTAATTTTCACCTTACTGTTGCAGTTACTCATTTTTTACCTTTACACCATTCCTTGTTGGGTTTGCAGATCAAATTGCTGTTCAAGAAGCAGCAGCAAGTCAGACTGTGACTTTCTTAGCTGGGAACTGTGTTTATGGTGGTTTCATGTAAGATCTGAAACATGAAAGTGCATTTTTATAATCGATGTAACAGGTCCACCAGCTGATGTCCCTCTCAAACACGTGGTTTATGACTAAGCACTTAGGGTTGTAACGTTACACCCACTTTCCTCTGAGTGAGCCTCCTTGACCTACTTTGCAATTGCAAAGTAACTCAACTATCTCAAATGCATTTATTTGGGAGCAACTACCCTTGGATTTTAATGGCGCTTTTTTCTGAGCACGTTATCATGATATGGCAGTGTTAGAGGGCTGGTCACTGAAACAACTGGCTGATAAGCAAGCAGTCAATGATTGGGTTCAGAGCGTATGACAGCACATACTCATGGGCTGCGTGTGGGTTGCTGCTGAAGCATGGGGAATTGCCCTGTCCGAACCTAGCCAAGATAAGAAAGCACGGTGAACAGCCCGTAATTCACAACCCAGCAACAAACCACGAGTGCTCTTCATCAGTTGTTCATGATTAAAAAGCCATGGCTGGTTAGTGCAGCTGGTGAATGATAACCCACGGTTTGACAACAACCCACACTCAACCCATACTCAGTCCCTGCATGGTGGTTGTCCAATTGTCCTTACCCAGTAATGGTGTTGGTCTAGCTCAGCATCCTGCTTTCTCCGGCGGCCAATCAGAGGCCTGCCAGCAGACTGTGGAGGTAAGTAGCTGGTCTTTGGTGGGATGTTGCCTCTCAGCTTTCATTCAGCCAACCTGTAGACCAGCCAGGAGGAAGGTATGACCCTCCAGATTTTGCTGGACTGCCGCTGTCATTATCCTCAGCCATTGGGAGCTGCAGTCCAACCCTGATTCAGCCTGGAATGCAAACTGCAGGATGAATTAGCACAGGAATGGCATTGTCCTCTTGGACCACGTGTCCTGCATCACTGCCGTATGCAGACAGCAATCGAGAACTTTCTAAGCTCCTTGCAAGGTAAAAAGGCCAGGATAGCCATGCAGTGTATACAGGCAATACAGCGCCAGCTATGCCCAAGAGGAAGGTGTTGACAGGCTTGGGGGGGCCAAGGTTGGCAGATGAGGCAGAGAACTTTAGAAACGGGACCCCACAAATGGTCCCAGCAGGCCGAGTCCTGGCTAAGTGTGGGAGGGCACAACGGCGTATCCTGGGAAAAGGCATGGCTGACTGGAACACTGCACCGGACAGCACCACACCTGTGACAGCCTCTCGCCCTTGATAGTCCGGTCTTCGACAGGAGAGGGTGCTTCCAGGCACAGTGCCCCACGGACGAGGAGCTGCAGGCCCAGAGTCCTGTTCCAGCGAAGGCAGCCACATCCGCAGCCCAGGGCCCCACCCACCGCCCTGCCTGCGATCGCCCATCAGTGCATGGTTTCTCCTCCCCACTGCCCACATTCGAAATGTCCTAAGGCTTGGTGAGGGGTCACGCACTGTTAGCATTTCTGTCTCCTTTTGGCCCCAGTCCCTTTGCTTTCGGCCTTGGCCTCTACTGGAATGCAACCCCCCAACAGAATGTAGCCCCTGGACGGAGAGAGACTCTGCACCCCGTCTTACAGTGGTAAGTTCATCATGGCCACGAAGGATGAGCTTTGCGGTCCTGGCCTCAGACATGTATCCCTCTGTGAAATCTTTACAGGTGGTAGGCAGGCCTGCACCTAAGAAACAGCCTCAGTCACTCTGCTGTTGTTCACATCAGTCTTTCTTGTTGGAAAGTTACGTACTCTGGCTGCATCCATTATCCTGACACATCAATAGCACACATTGCCTTTTCCTAAGCTGAATTCCAAAAGGGGGAAAACCAGATGCATTCCTCATATCTGTAACCCATCACTAAAAGCACAGTGAGGGACGATTGAAAGGAAGGAGCCACGAGAAAGATGTTCTTCCATTATGCGATATTGCCTCCAGCTTGTTCTTATGAGTGCTGTAATTTGAAGAACACTAGCCGTTTCCTCAGTGCAGCCTTCGTGTTGTTCCCTTGCGTCCCAAGAATTGAAAGCAAATTATTTGTGAGATGAAAAGCAGGACCAAAGTGGCTCCCTTCGAAGGGTACGAGCCTGAACCAACAGTTCCGTCCATGATTACCTGAGAGTAAGACTCGTTCAGTTTCTATGTAAACAGGATTAGAGGCACCGCACTTGCATACCACCACTGAGCAGCACCTTCTGCAGACACAGGGCAACTCTGCATGCTGCTTAAATTGCCCTGCTCCCCGTGTCATCTGAACCATCAAGCAAAGGCCATGGCAAAGGTTGTCCTTGCTGCTTTCCAGAGCTTGATAATAACTGAACGACAATAGCAGTCTTGGCTTAATAACAGTCTTTTCCTCTGGAATGGCTGTGCTCACCTGTGTGCAAATATACACCCAAGTTAAATGTCTGGAGCCGTGCAGACATTTGCATGCAAATCCATTGTCACGGCATCTGCTGATGGACATCTTTCATGGCTGTAGAAGGATGGTGGAGATATTGATGGAGGTGGCTTCATGGAAGCTCTGCCAGTGCCATCTTAAGCATGCTTACTCCAATGGAGGTCCCATGGTGCTTGGGTGGGGGCCTTGCAGCCACGTAGAATTGCAGCTGGAGGGCCACCGTGAGAGAGGGGTCTTTCTGGCCTGCTTGTGGGCTTCCCAGAAGCATTGGGGTGGCTGCTGTGGAAACAAGAGGGACGAATGGGACAGTTTTCTTATTCAATAGTCACCAGTATATTTGGATCCCAGGTGCCTCTTTGCCCCAGATGTACGTTTGGGGATCCGCTTCTCCATCATGTTGCTCTATGCTGCTTTGGGCTGCTGGGGTGACCCATCTTCACGTGGCCTGTGGCACAATCACAGCTTCAGGCCCAATGTTTGAAGACCAGTGAAGGCATAGCTTCACTGCCATGCGGGAGGCGGCCACTGCGAGGCCAGATCCAGGAGGCAATCTGCACTAATAGCAGGTGGACAAAATGAAACATGAATTCAGTTCACCTCATTGCCTGCCGGGAGGGGCGACTGCCCCCTCTCCACCAGAGAGGCTGAGATCTGGGCCTGAGCCAGTAGAATCCGCGCCTTCAGGCAGTGCTGGCTTCCCATGGACTGCCTCACCATAGCCATGGTCCAGCCCAGAGCCAATTCCAGTACCAAAGGGGCCTGCAGTGAGTTGTCCAGGGCTGGACAGAGCAAGTCCGTGCATAACTGCTCAGGAGTAGCACCCACTGAGTCGAAAAGCCCTGACTTCCCCGCATGTGTGGGAAGCGCACATAGCTGAGCCTGGCTGGCATGGCTCAAGGTCAGGAACTGGTGCGTTGCTTTCTGAAGCATCTGGAGGGTTCCCACTTCTTGCTCATGTGCAAGAAGGCAGCCTTAAATTAATTGACAAAGGGCACGGCTGTATAGAGATGAGTAGAAACCTTTGAATGTGGGGCTCACAGTGATCCTGCACAGAGTGGGAGGAGCAGCGGAGCAGCGGAGGGAACCTTCCTCCCATTCTGCATTCTCACGAGATAACTCCGTTTCAGTTCTCCAAAGTACGCAGAAATATTGTCATGCAGGATCCTCCTGCTCTCATTTTGAAATAAACGTAAAGGCAAAAAAGAAGAGCGTACACAGGAGTTGAACAAGATTGCCAAAGAAATGGTACTAATTGTAATTCTTAGTATGTCTTCGAATGTGTTAGTAGAATAGCCGGAGTAAACTTTACTATCTAATCAAAGAATGTAAACATAATTATATAGATATATACGGAGCGCGCGCATGCATGTATTAGTCAGAAAGGTATGTTTTCCTTAATTTGCATATTTTCCTGCAAGATGCCTTTATTTTGCTTATGAGGGAAGGAAAGGGGGCTAGAAAGGGCTTCCAACCCTGTAGCTTTCAGGAATATCCGTTCGGGAGGGATGGGAACGTGGCGCTTGGTTTCAGTGAAAATGCCAAGAGTCTGTGAGAGCACTCTCTGAAAACACGGCAGGTGTACACAGGCGACGTAGCCCTGAGCATTGCCTGTTCTATAGTTAGTTAGGTACATGGACTATTAGCATGCCTGTGAAGCTCTGAATCTCTCGGGCATGTCTAAAGAATGATTCACTTCCTTCCCTTTGCTGCCAAGATGCCTGGGCTGAAGGAACTATGTGAGCATTCCTTGCCCAGACCCAGACCCAGACCCTTCCCCACCTGGCCTTCTCTGCTTGCCCTCCAGGGTCTTAGGCAGAGCTCTTTAGCAACACCCTCCATGCACTTAAGCCTCACAATCAGAAGCACGCATGGAGGGTTCCCCCATCTCCAAGGCTGACTCTTTTCATGCCAGCTGGGTGGGGGGGGGGGGTGGCCATGCCGTCCAGCCTGAGCACCCAGGCTAGAGGACCCCAGTGCCGGGATGCTGAAGAATCCCTCCTGCCAGAAAGCGTTACTTCTTTGTCTGACCTGGGCAAGCTGTTTCTCCAGACTTCCTTGTAAGAACAGATAACCTTGTACATATGAGAATGATGTATTTGGTGCTTTCGTCTCTTTTACTGGCCAAAAGACCTCTCCGAATGACATCCTGCCAGCCTTTGTACTCACACTTTTTTCTCTGTTTCCAGAGCCCCACCAATTATAGGATATTTACCCTTTGAGGTGCTTGGGACATCAGGTTACGACTATTACCACGCCGATGACCTCGAGCTTCTTGCTCGGTGCCACGAGCAGTGTAAGTAGTTTTGGCTCCTTGCTGGCACTGGATTGTCAAGTACATACATATCAATTGTTCCTTTCCCACTTTTCAGGGGCTCAGTGCCAGTGAGCACAGACATTCAGAAAGCACTCGATGCGCAGAATGGCACATTGCTCTCATGCGGCGGGGTCTGTTTTCATCACATGGCCAAAGCAGATGTTTAAACATGGAGATTTGGGATCCAAACCAGGATCTAATTCCTGCTGCTGCTGCTGCTGCAGTCTGATTTCTTCTCTGCAAGTGGCGTTTGCTCTTAGAGGAAAGCCTCCACGGGCACCACGAAAGGATTCCCCAGACCAGAACAAGGGAGGAAAGGGTTGAAGCCCCTCTCTGTATTTAGAACCGCTCCATTCATTATCAGCCTTCCTTCCCACAGCCCTTGCACACAATGTGCTTTGCACCTGAACATGCCAAGACATCCATCACCCTCAGCTATGAATTCACTTTATGGCTCAAAGAGGTTTGTGCGACTCAGAGGTTTGCTCTTTTGTCAACACACTGGGAATAGAAGAGCGGCAGTGCTGGATCAGGGCAAATGCTTATCTAATCTGACATTGTCATACTGGAGGGTTCTGTAGCCATCATAACTATCAGCCATCGACAGTCTTCTCTTCCGTGTGTTTTTAAAAGCTGCGTATCATCTTGCAATTCCTGGGACAGACTTAATGCAATGCTGTTACTTGTGCTTCCCTTTCATGGCCCTCCCATGTCACCACCCAGAGAACTTCAGCCATTAGGTGGTATAATGATGTAATAAAATCCTTGAATCAATCTGGCCCCTGTCTCCCTGGAAGTGGGAAGAGATCCCACCCCAATACTAATATTTCCAATGCAAATATAACCAGGGAATTCTCAGCAGCGCTGCAGCAGGGTAGAAAAGAGAGACCCTCTGTGATCTTCCCTGCTTCAATCATTATAAGTAGCCCCTGACCTCAACAACTTCTATTTGCATTTTTATTAGCTCATTTAAAGCCACTCCCCCCCCCACTCAAAACACATACATTTAACTTCAAATCCAGTTTGATGCTACATTCTTCTGGTATCTTTCTCCCACCTGTGATTCTTGAAACAGTTCAGGACAGGTATCATTAATATTACTCCTACTACTACTACTACTAATAATAGTAGAATAAGGTAAACAGGTTGCATTTTTACTTCCTGCAGGGTACCTAGCTCTATGCTGTGCAGTGATAAACCTTCCTTCTTTAGATATGCCCTGAAGTTATGCAAGAGAGCCGCCTCTCTGACCTGGAAACTAGAGACCGAATCAAACTCTGTGTGTTCATGCATGTGTGTGTAATTTGCACATGAAAACCACAGTGTGGCAACGGATGCCTTTTGCTGCAGGCTTGAAGTAACAAGAATTAAACTGATCTCTGCCGCAGACCTCGCCCTCTCTCCTGGCAGTGTCTGAATTGCATGACCTGTTACGGGTTGTGCTGGATGTTCTCATTAACCAGATTAAGAGGCATATTTAACTCACTGCCAAGTTCTGTTTTTCATTTCTCTTTTAGTCCTCACCGGGCCTGTCCGTAGCCCGTCTGTCTCTCCGACTGCAGTGCAGCTGGGCTGCTTTGGGATAGGGTGGCCACTGTTTTTGTGGGCACTGCTCCTGCAGCTGGAACAGAAGCCTAATGTACATGCCTTTAGCAGGTGAAACCAGATGCCAGGGAAAGGGTCTGTCCGCTTAACTTGTGTATATCAGGCTGCTGCTGTTGGTGCAGGGGGAGGGTCGGATCATAAGGTAGCATTGTAACGTTGGAAGGACTGTCCTAGAATGGCATGAAAGGGCTGCATTGTGATATTTGGCATGACTTCCTTAAAGTTTTTTGGGGGGGTCTTTTTTAGCATTGCAGTTTCGAGCAGCTTCAAATGGTTGCTTCTTCCGCAGATCTTTTCTTCTGCCAGTGTGTTGTCTCTGTTAGGGGACAACCAGGAGGTTTGTGCGTCAACTTTAAAACTCAGGCATGGGCCAGAAAATGGAATCGAAGGGGGGAGAGAGAGAGAAAGAGCATGACTGCCTCTCAGCAAGTGTGCAAAATAATTTTTAATAAAATCAGTAGTTTTTACAGCAGGTCTCTGGCATTGCTGACCCAGCTGTTTCTGACTTTGCCAGGTTTTTGAAAACCCCTTCTGTTTTGTATGTGCAGTCGCAGGTCGAAATCAATAAAATATGAGTCTTATTGAGATTCCGGTGGGCTGATCAGCAGTCAAAAGGGCCAAAGCAACTTGCCAGTCTTCAGTCTGGGAGCTGCACCATTTTGACGAGTTGACGTTGACGAGACCGGAATGGTTGTGTTACCAAAATGATTTTTCCCTCCACACAGTGATGCAGTTTGGGAAAGGCAAGTCTTGCTACTACAGATTCTTGACCAAAGGCCAGCAGTGGATTTGGTTGCAAACGCACTATTACATCACCTACCACCAGTGGAACTCCAAGCCTGAGTTTATTGTGTGCACCCACACGGTCGTCAGGTAAGAAGATGCTATCTGTTCAGCTGTTTGGCCATGTGGGACATCTGGCTCAGTAAGGCACTCCCTTCCGTGCACCGATCATGGTTCAGAATTGGCGTGGGGCCATGCTGGTGTCTATTTGTTGCTCGCTTCTTCTGCAGCATTGGCTGCGAATGTGAACCTGCCCCTTTTCTTCCCCTGCCCATTTCTCCATAGCAATTTCACGAATAGACTAAAAGGTGGCAGCATAAGCAGTGAGGTTTCCAGCAAAACATGCTTTTAAATGACTGCGTGTGATGCTTTCTATCTGCATTCTCACATCGTGCTAAATCATGTTTTCGCGTCACAACATTGAGCCAAAGGACTCTGCAAATCTGACTCTCCTCTTTCTTCCTCTGGCTCAACCCTGACAAGGAATTTGGAAGCTTTCGGTTCTTTTATAGATCCAGTGCAGTGTGTAGTGATGTGTGAACTTGAACATACTGCAGTTAGCCTTACACATGGTGAGTGGAAACAAGCCAGCTTGAAACCATGGCTTATTAAGCTGGTTTGTTTCTACCAACCCACCACTGAGAATGAGAATGACATTCATTTTGTGGGGAGCTCTCAGAGATAATGTTCCAGGAGTGAGAAGGACCAAAGTCAAACAAAGGCAGGACCAAATTGCAAAATATATCAGCACAGTTTGACTTTAAAGCATTTCCTGCAGGAAACTAAACCTTTGAGTGGAGTGGGGAGGGGTGCATTTCTATCTTTAGAAGCACAACCACCAGGAAACCATCAAATGATTAGCAGCCACCAAGGTGGTCCCCAAGGTGGTGGAGGTCCAAAGTGGCCCAGATATGGCTCTTAACCTTTGCACTAACCAAAAAGAAGCTTAACCAAAGTTTAGGGTCCAGATGGAATCCCAAACCCTGGTTAATCTAACATGGATGCTGAAGCTGCTTGTTCTGACTTTTCCATTCACTGCCCAATATTGCCATTGCAAGTTTAAACGTAGGACAAGGCTGACCATTCCCAGCATGCAGCCTGTTACAGTACAGGACCAGATTGGTCGGTGGTCTAAACTGATGCAGTTACTGTCATATCTTCTGCCCCAAAGCCAGTGTTTGCCCCAGGAAAGGGCTGGCATAGATGGAGCACCACAAGGCAGGATTTGGGTTGAGACCTTGGACATCTTTCCAGTGAGAAAACTGGGAAGGGCACTCAGTTCTCTGCAGTGGCTTCCCCACTACCGATCTCCTACCAAAATGTGGTGTTGCAGGGGACAGTTAGATGTGCTTGAGGTCAGTCCTGATTTCAATAATAGTATGCTTTCCATAGGAAAATATCCATTATCTTCAAAGACAAAGTACAATTTTGGGGGGGATGCAATACAAATGGAGAACAAAATTAATTGACTGCTTATGGACTTAATGCTTTTTTTTTTTTTTTTTTTTGCTGCTAATTTATAGCTATGCTGAGGTTCGAGCTGAAAGAAGACGAGATCTTGGCCTTGAGGAGTCATCCATTGAACTAGCATCTTCCTCCTTTAAGGTACGAGGAAGAGCAAATGAGAGGTTTAGGGTTCCATGGAGTTTGGAGAGTTTGTAGCTGTGACAAACTGGCATGTTTTGGAGTGGGGGAGAATGTGGAGTCCAGGTTGAGGGACCCATCTTGGTTTTGGTTTCTTTGTGCTCCTTTAAGCCTTCAAGGATTTTAATACCAAGGGTTTTCAGGTGTAGAGGAGGGATTTTGGTAACAAAGCTGGCCTTGAAAAAGCTCACATATAACAATATTTATACTGACAGATCCATTTTCACTGGGGGGGTGTGAGCACCTCATAGACACTGTTAGGGGCTGACACGAAGCATCAATTTGAGAAAGAAGCTGCATGCACAAGTGCACAGTTTTCAGGATCGAGAAAAAAGCTTGTAAGTTTCCTCCCAAATAGAGGGGCATGCATCATGTTCCAGTTTCATGTCTGTGCAGATCTTCTCTGTGAGCATTTGTGGGTAAGCCTTTGCCAGTCAAATGTAACTGACAGAATTTGGCAGCTGCCATGTCACCATCCTCTTTCTCCATGCTCCTAAAGAATTCCCACTTTGCTGACATTCCAATAAGATGCTCAGAAAGTCTCTGAAGCAGGTATGGGGAATGTGTGGCCATATTTTCATGGGTTGCATCCCCCATAACCCTAACCAACATAACCGGTGCTGATTTGCAATCCATCAACTGGAGGTCCGTGCACTACCCATTTTTGCCGTACAGCTTTGTGAGCATTCAGTGGAAATGCTCACAAAAACTTTGAGGCTGCTCCCAGAGAGCCTTCTCTTGCAGCCTTCTCCAAGGTCCAGAAATTCACTCGCCCTCTTGAAATGGGGTGTGAGCATTCAAACGGGGGAACTGGGTATTGCAAGCCCCCAGCTAGAATGCTTCTGACCCCTTCTGATCATGCCAGACAGGACAACGCGCTCAGAACGAGTGCTGCACCCGGTGTGCGCAAAGGCCCGTCTCCTTTTGCAGAAGAGGGAGCTGCAAGCTTTCCCAGTGTCAGGCCCTCAGATCTGGGCAGACTACAATTCCTATCACCCCCAACCAGCATAGTCCATTGTGGGGGTGAGGGGAGTTAGACAGGGTTTCGGCTGCTGAGCTGTGAGCTCCCTAGACTATGTGCATCTGTGCCACCCATAGCTGCGATGAAACGCCTGGAGCCCGGCCCCATAGCTGGCTGCACCCCATACAGCTGCATCTCCAGGGCTTCCATGCTGACTCACCTATTCTGTCCAGACAAAGACTGGAAGTGAAGGAAAGATTTATTGATCTGATTTTTCTCTGGATCAGTGCTGTGTTTTAAAGGCAGAGCATGATGCTACCCTGAGCAGGGGCAGGGCTGTGACCAGAACAACACTTTCCATTGCTTTTTTAAATAATCAATTTGGCATCGTCATGCCTGCTCCATTAATAGGGTCAACTCAGTTAACATTTTAAAAATAAACCTTTGCCAGTGGTGCCAGACTAACTTCAAGCTGAGCTTTCTGTGGCTTCTTTAAACTGATCATTCCCCAGCAATGTTAAAGGGAGGACCTGTCCATCACTAGATCTAGCAGTGCCCCATTTTATGTCAGTTTGCAACCCTCATGCTGGATTCCAAGGATGGTCTCCCTCCCCTCCCCTCCCCTCCCCTCCCGCCCAGCCCATCCACTTGAAGCTGGGTTGTCTGAAGGGAGCCATGGCAGGGCAGACAGGGACCGCCAGGTTATCAGAAAAGACTTCTTCTTGCAGCTTCTTCCCTCCTTGGTGCTATGGATGCTGCTGTTGTGAGCTGGCCCCTTCCCCACTTCCCTCTGTTTCCAGAACTCCAACAGTCTTTCGAAAATGCAGTTCTTTTATTGAGACTCCACAGAAAACAGAACCTTTTTTGCTCTGAATAGCCCTCTGCCAAAGCTGAAAAGAGAAGCCTCTGCTCATGGAAAGAGTGGAATCCAAGCTGGAGACTTCCCCATAGTCCCTCCCTTTCAGTAAAGCTTCTGGCTCCCTGTTCAGGGAGCTTATCACCAGCAAAAGAACTGAGGATCCTCTCATTCCTTGTGAAAGCTGAACACAGACATCTTGCAAAGTGGCTTAATTTCAATTCCTAGAATACAAGATCTTCAAATCATTCAGTCCAAAGGAAAGTGACCAGTCTTTTGGGTCAGAAGAATGGCGTTTGGGTGTTTCTGTTGCTTCTTTTTTTAAGCGTCAGTTGATTTTTACTGCTAACAAGATAATATGGGGTTTACCTCTTTCCAGAGTCATGGAAGTTACATCAATATCCAGCAATGTGTAGCAAACCAAGAAGCCAGTCGTGAGAGGCTCTCTGTCTCTTCTCACAGTTCCCGCCGATCTTCACATACAGCGCTTTCCGACTCTGCATGTACGTATCCCCTCCAGCAACAACCACAGTGGTACCATGGGGGTATTCTCACCTCTGGGGGCATCTCTGCGCAGTAGGAGATGGGAGGTGAAATTTGGAGGTGGGAACAGGTGGACCAGGGCCTGGTGTTGCTCCTCAGCTACTTCAGACGGTCCCCTTGGCAAGGCAATGTGCCCTTCTCTTTGCTGCTCCGACAACCCCCAAGCGTCTGCTTTGTGTTCTCATGTGCTGCAAAGTCTGTGTACAAAATCTGTGAGTGCCAAGTTCATTAATGGCTACTAGTTCCACTTTCTGCTCAGATGGCGTGCAGGTGAATGTCAGGTACTGAGATGTACGTCAGGGAAGAACTTTTTACTTCCTGTCTTCCTTGCTGATTTTCTTGAGGCGTTTTCTGTCCTTCACTGAAAGTTAACAGACCATCCGTCCAGTCCAGGGAGGCTCCTCGTACGCTCTCTCTTTCATACAGTGAAGTTGCAGTAATCTATTTTGTGCTGAGGTGCCTAATCACAGCATCATGGGGCTAGTTCAATAAATAAAAATCCAGCACCTTGGGCCGTCTGCAACTGCCTGCCACAAAGCTGCCTCAGCTTCCTCATACAGTCCCTGCCCCCGAAATGCATCCTCTTGTCTGAGGTCCCTCCATAGCCTGGTTGATTGATCCCGGCACTGCATGAACAAAATGAAAACGTGTATTATGGGATTTATAACCACAAGGGAATAGAGTGTTGTTTTCCAGATCCTAGGATGGGAGTGCTTAAATGAACTTAAACAGCATTCATTACCATTCTTAATCAGTCCTGCAAAGAAGCTCTGGAGAGCTTTCCGCCCAGCACCAATTCCCCCAAGTCCCCTACCCAGGCCGATCCCTCAGTCCTCCTCTGCCTCTGGCACTTCTGGTTGCCCCCTGCTTCTTGAGCGTTTCAAGGGCTTTGGGCGTCTTTGAGAGATTCAGCAGCTCTCATTCAATCCTGCATTTAATCAGTGCATGGTTCCCACCTGAAAGCCAAGGCGGTTCACCCCTCTTATGACCTGCGATCTTTAAAGCAGCCCATCAGAAGAAAGGACACTGTCAAAACTGTACTGTCAGCTCTCCAAAATAGAGGACTGTCTCCCAGGAAGTAGGTCATGTGGCTTCCCTAGCACTGAGCACCAAAGCCCGCAACTTTTTCTACATAATACAGTGATGAAGAGCACTGCAGTTGTGTTCATCAATGTTCCTTTAAATCTCTAAACCACCTCTCGCGTGCGCGTGTGTGTGTGTGTGTGTGTTCTTTGGTGGGGAAGCATCACTTTGACCTGCAAAAAAGGGAACAATTGCTTTACATGTGTGACTGTGTACATGACATGAAAGAAGCATGCAAAATTATATATAATGTGCAGAAACTGGGGAGGTATACATATATATTCTCTCCCGCTCTCTCATAACACTAGAGCCTGGGGTTATCCCTTGGAACTGATTGGTGGGAGATGCAGGACAGATAAAAAGAAAGACTTCTTCACAGAGGACACAATTAAATGATGGAACCCACATCCACAAGTTTTGGTGGTGTCCACCAATCTGGATAGTTTCCAAAGGGAATTGAGTAGATTCAGGGAGGTGAAGGCTAGTAGTCCTGATGGCCATGTGTTACCTCCAGGCTGTGTGTCCATGTACACCAGTTGCTGGGGAACATGGGTGGGAGGGTGCTGCTGCACTCGTGTGCATTGCAGAGGGTCACTATTAGTGGGGAACCATTGGGATGGTGGCCGGTGATGAGCAGGGTCCCCCAGGGCTCAGTTCTGGAACTGATCCTGTTCAATCAGTGATAAGTACAGGTTAGGGGACAAGTGGCTGGAGAGCAGCACTTGTGAAAGGGATCTTGGGGTGCTGGTTGACTGCAGGCTAAACATGAGCCAGCAGTGTGGCACAGCAGTCAAGAGGGCGAACGCCACCCTTGGTTGCATAGCCAGAAGTGTGGCTTCTAGATCGAGTGAGGTATTACTACCACTATGTACAACTCTGGTGCGCCCGCTACTGGAGTATTGTGTTCGGTTCTGGGTCCCACATTACAGGAAGGATATAGCCAGGTTGGAGTCAGTGCAACGCAGGGTCACAAAGATCAATTTGCAAAGAAAGCTGTATGAGGAGAGTCTGAGGGAACTGGGCCTTTTCAGCCTGGAAAAGAGGAGACTCCAAGGGGGATCTGTTGGCCACATACAGGTATGTGAGGGGGTGTCACACAGAGGTGGGTAGAGACCTGTTCTCCCCTGCAAAAGAGGGCAGGACGGGCTCCAATGGAGCAAAGCTCAGGGAACCAAGGTTCAGTTTGGATGCCAGGAAGTACTTCCTGACAGGACCCCGAGGGTATGGAGTGGGCTTCCACGGGAGGTGGTTGAGGCCCCATCAGTGAGGGTGTTCAAAGATAAGCTAGACATGCACATGGTAGGCATGTCATGAGCAGAGGCATCTAGAGCTGGGGGTCAGACTAGATGGCCCGGTAGACCCCTTCTGCCTCGTTCTGTTTCCATGTTTGCTCCATGTAGATTTCCCTTTGGCAGTTGGTTGTTCATGGTGTGAACAGGATTCTGCACTCCATGGGCCCTTGATCTGATCCAGCAGGCCTCTTCTGGTGTTCTGATGTGTACATGGGAGGAAAACATGTTCGTGTGTGCCTGGAAAGCACCTCAGAAGCTGCAGATACATGGCAAACCTCCCATTTATCAGATTCTGCTCCCTGGACCATAATTAGGGATCGTTTCTCATAAAGATTTCACCTAGCCTGGAAGGAGCTGCTCTTTCTTCATTCCTGACGAAATGGAGATATTGCAGCTTTGGGCATTAGTGGTGATGTGCTTTTCAGATTCCCACGGTCAACTCCTCCATAAAGTATGATTCTCTTTGGCAGCCACCTCATCCATACGGCACACGGATGCCAGCACCCCGACCAGACAATCATTACCAATGGGGCAGTCAGACAAAGCACCTCTCAGGCTTCCTTCAAGCAGCAGCACACAGGTAAATAAAGGGAGGCTGGCTAGAAACCCCAGCAACACAAACTGGAAGAGATGTGCTGACAGACTGGAAAGGGTTCAGAAGAGGGTAGCAAGAATGATTCAAGGGCCTGGAAAGAAAGCCCTGTGAGGAGAGATGGAAAGAACTGGGCATGCTTAGCCTTGAGAAGAGAAGGCTAAGAGCAGATACAATAGCCCCCTTCAAGTACTTGAAAGGCTGTCAGAGAGAGGAAGGGCAGGATCTCTTCTCAGTCATCCCAGAGTGCAGGACATGGAATATCAAGCTGAAGTTACATGGAGCCGGATATCGGGAAGAACTTCCTGACTACTCAGGCAGTAGGACATTGAAAGCAGTGACCCAGGGAAGTTGTGGGCTCTCCCGCATTGTAGGCATTCAAGACCTAGTTGGAAAGCCACCTGAGAAGGAGGGTTTAACTGGAGTCCTGCACTGAGCAAGGGCTTGGACTCAGTGGACTAGTAGGCCCCTTCCAGCTGCCTTCTTCTATGATTCTGTGTTTCTAGGAGAAAGCTGGTCTTCTGAAGGGGAGCAAAAGCACCTGTGCTTTGGCACTCACCAGTTGTGATTCCCTGAACTCCATGGGACCTGTTTCCAGTAGGCATGCACAGGAGAGGACTGATAATGTTTTTATGGGCTACCTTGTCTGAGAGAGCAAACAAGCTACTGCAGGAGCATCTTGCAGTTCACACTGGTGCTGGAAGAATGAATGACCTGGGCTGCTGCTATGCTTTTAACAGCAGCTCAACTTGCAGAGTTGGTCAGGTGCTGCTATTTATAGCATGCAGATGACCTGTCTGTATCTGCAGGCTTGGTTGCTGTTAAAAGCACGAAGGTTGGGGCTGCTAGAACAATATTGGCCAGTCAACCAGACGGATCCCACTCAAGGCAGTCTTGCAAGGTACATGGTAAGATATGTCTTGAGTTTGGGGCAGTTCTCTGGGCTTCTAGAGGGTTCGAACTCTAGATGCTGGACTAAGGCTTTTCTGGTAGACTGGGAAGGAGACCCCGTAGGCACCCCCTTCGTAGCTGCAGACTGGGGCTCCTGCGGCAAAGCTTGTCGGGTGTGCTGGGGCCACTGAGCAGTGCTCTGCTGCCCAGGAATGACTGAGCACCAGTAGCCAGGCTTTTGCCAGTAGGCCAAGTGCTGTGAAAATCTTTCCCAGGAGAAGGAACCTTAGCCAGCAATCCGTCCCCTGCGCACAGACAGCTAGCATGTCAGGAAGACGCCTAGCCCTCGAACACCTTTGCCTGACAAGCTATGCATTTATTTATCCTTTCAGTGGAAGGAAGATTCCAGTTAGGTGAGCCTTCCTTCCATGTCTTCTGCAGGCAGAAATGGGGAAGCTTTGCCATCTCAGCAAGAATCTTGTTCACAAGGGTGTCTCCTGATGAGTATTGCCGCGAGAAAGATATGTGCATTCTTCCTTGCCCTGGATCCATCCAGTGGACTGTTTTTCTCTCTCTTCCGCAGGGTATAATAACTCCTCAGACCCCCACTGAGCATCTCCCACAGCATCACATGGCGCAGCCCACAGTCCCTGCACAGCAAGCGGTCATGGTACGTCCTCAGCAATGCCCAGTCAGTCCTGGTTGTGCTTTGTATAGCAGCCCCGCATAAAGATCACTGAGAACTTAACTTGGCATTGGAGGAGCCTCAGGTCTGCCATCTTCTTTCTGGTTATGGCTAAACTTTCAGCCCGTGTGACGTGCCCGCAGGTGCTGGCTAATGCCGCTCACTTCCCATGCTGTGCAGAGAGAGATCTGACCAGGAAGAGAAGGGGAAATGCACCGAGCAGTGGTGTTTGGCTAAAAAGCCCTGAGATCGGGGTGGGCAAGTTGTGATCCTCCAGATGTTTTGGCCTCCCATCCCCATCATGCCTCACCAATGGCTGTGCTAGCTTGGGCTAATGGAAGTGGTAGTCCAAAATGTCCAGAAGTCTGCAGGTTACCCACACTGCCTTAAATCGCTCTCTTGTGAATTTGTGAGAGGCTGTTTTGATAGCGTCAATGGATTTTTTATTTGATGATTTTTTTTGGTATTATAACCATACCATCTTGTTCATTGCTTTTGCAGGGGGAGGGGAGGGTGTGTGTGTGTGTGTGTGTGTATTTAGATCTGTAATATGATCAGGATAAACATTAATAAATAAGAGCCCAGTGAATGGTTTGGGGTCATCTGAGGCTGTAACTTTACCGAAGCTTTGCAGTTACAGTTGTGATGAGTCACTCAGAGAAGAGGCTGCTGGGAGCCTTGCGGGCTAATTCTGCATGTATAAGAGCAGAAGAAGAGCCGTACCAGATCAGACTAAGGGTCCATCTCACCTAGCACCCTCTGCTTCTGTTCAGTGGCCCGCTCACTACCTGTCAGACACCAACAAGCAGGACCAAAATGCATTAGCACCCTTCCAGCAACAGGCATGCGACCTCCAAGAGCAGGTAGCCCTAATGGCTGGAAGTCGCAGTTGGCCTTATCCTCCATGCGTTTGTCTAATCCCCTTTGAAAGCCGTTGCCGTCCCCTTGCAACCATCACTTTACCCTGTGCTGTGGAATTCCAGACATCAGCTATAGCAAGCTTTTTTAGGTGGGATGCCTCAAATGCACTGGTGTAAGATGAGGAGTGCAGAAACCGGCAGCAGTGCATGGAAGGACTCTTGGGATTATAAGAAAAAGCCTGAATATGTGAAGTGTTAACAAAAAAAGCTAGGAGATGCCAAACCAACCAATAATGAACAAACCACAGTTCACAACTCATCTACAAACAGCGGGTTCCCTTCATGAGTGGTTTCTGGCCAACGAGACATGCCTTGTTAGTGCAGCTGGGTTAAAAGTGGGGTTGCAACAATCCCATGGGATCTGGCTTGCTTCTGCTCATCAGGCTTCTTCCTCATGCCTGGCTCTGGCTCAAGTCTGAATCGTGTGTGTGGACGAAGGGGCTGCTCACACAGGCTGCCATGCAAATGCTCGGGGCACTTGGTGCTGCACTGGACTTCGGACTGCAAGAAGCCAGGATCCAGCCACCCAAGCCAAGGGAATTCGATGGATTCCCGCTGCAGAGCAGGCCCCTCACACACCCCTGGTTTGGGCTACACAACCTGCCATTCAGTGACATCACAACTCTTCAGTGTAGGTTCTTGCGTGGTGTGGACCGGGTCATTGCAACAGCTGCATATACTGAGGGCGCAATCCCATGCCTGTTTACACAGAAACAAGTCCTATGCAGCTGTGGGACTTTTCTCTCCCCAGACATGCACCCTAATATCTTGTGCATGGAGACGCTGCTTCTCCAGAGTCAGTTATGGGCAAAATGTTCAGCTTAGTGATGCTTCTCCCTCCCTCCCTCCCTCTCTTTCATGCGCTCGTAGCCTATGTATCACTTCCCAACCCAGATGGGGATGATGCACCAGCTGAAGGAACAACTGGAAGAGCGGACACGCATCCTGCAGGCAGACATCAAGACGCAGCAGGAAGAACTCCATGTGATAAAGGAGCAGCTCCAGCTCGTGCAAGACTCCAACCTGCAGGTCTCTCTCTCGGAGCAAAGCACCCTTCCAAAGCGGACCACGCCGCATGCCGCTTCTCTTTGCTCTGCCTTGGAAGCAAAGCTGGGCCTCTCCAGCCTCTTTGCATTTTGCCCGGGTGCAGCGATCTGGGCTGCTGTGCGGGAGGGTGGGGGCAGCTGCGCACCTTTCCCCAGCGTACTCTACTCCCGGCTGCTTTTAACCTGCAGGGAAAAGATGCACAGAGTTTCGTCTTGCCTAGTTTGACCCTAAGATCAAGCCAAGTTTTTTGGCTCATAGAGAGAAGCAAATTCTTTGAACGAAAGGAAGTGGTTTTGTTAAAAATGAAAATGCTGCACTATTTTGCTATAAAATGGTACTATGAACTACTCAGTTTAAATCGTGGGATGGTTAATGTGACACTATGTTCAAAGGTTGGGTGACACCTAGTGGCTACTTTGTCTGGCTGATTTCACAAATTACACACACTCCTTATACTTCGCAATAGCTCCTGCCCGTACTACAAAATTGCTCCCCTGTGCATTTTGATCGTTCGCAGTCAGAAACGTAATTATGATTTGTACTGTTGCTTTGCTGGGGATTTTTAAGGGAAATTTTACGTCTTGAAGACTGTATGTATGCTACCTTAAGTCCTTCTTTTAAGAGAAAGGTGGCTAAGAAATGGTAATGATGATAATAGGGATGATGATGGCAGAAGACCTCCTTCTGGGAGCCCCCTAAACAATAGGTTTGTCTATTGATCAGCTTCTGCAGCCCTCGTTTTGTTTCGAGCTTTCGGGCCACCCTCTGCAGCCGCCTCGCCAATGCCCTCGCAAACCCCAGCCGTCCGCGTCACTTCCCTGCCTCTTCTGCCTCCGCAGATGTTGATGCACCAGCCCATGCCTGTGGCCTTCAATAGCGCGCAGCATCAGAGCCCCCGGAGGCTGTCCCAGGCGCCAGTCCCCGCAGCAGGGAGCAGGCCAGCCCCGTCCAAGAAGTCCCAGCAGCCAGACCTGATGGGATCCAAGCATTTCTGCGGCACGCACTTGGCCTCGCCCCAGCAATTCCTCAGGGAACCTTGTGTCACTTCAACGCAGGTCAGAACCGCGGTTTCCGTGGAGTCGGGATGCTTTGCTAGGTTGCCAGCCGTACCGCCTGACCGTTGGTTGCACCCAATCCAGACTGCGAGGCTGCTTCAGATGTCCTGCTTGCTCTTCCCTTATCAGGGCGCCGCAGGCGGCCAACGAATCGTCACCTGACACACTCCCTCATCCTGTCCATTGTGGTAAAGTGCCATCAGCACAGGGCAGCCATATAAATAAAACCCTCCAGAACGCTCTGTCTGTGACAGCCCTGCTCAGCTCTTCTAAATTCAAGGCCGTGACTCGCTTTTGCAATCCATCCATCTCATTGGTTATCTTTTCAAAAATTTAGCCTCCCAGTGCGTTATTCTGTAGCTGCTTTATTTGGATTGTTGCCTTAGGTTGTATTTTCATGGCATGCTCCTCTATTGCAAAGGACCATCATTCCTTTCTGGGTGTGCTATCCTGTCCCCCGTTTTCTGTCCCTGCAAAATCATGCAAGCTTTCTGATTCTCCAGAGCACATCAGCCCACCCGCGTTCTGGAACCGGTGTGTGCTTGCTCCTTGCTGGGCTCTCTGGGGTGCGGCCTCTCATGGGTTCTTTGTATTTCTGCTGGGGTTTCCCTAAGCCTTCTTGGACCTTGCGCATGCAAGCTGCTGTCTTGGCCACACAAGCCTGTACACTCAGAGAACGAGCTGCTACATTCCAGATGTGGCAGGGCACTGTAAGGGTATTGTTTAGGGGGGAATGCCGTCCTATCAACTTCTGCTTGGGTCAGCTCCACTGAGTTCAGTGGGGCTAGCCTCCATTGAGTGGCATCGGTCCCGCCCCACACATCCCGTGGCTGGGGCAAAGTGCAGGGGACACTTGGTTCTGGCTGCCTCCATTAAGCACCGGGGGTGGCGAGGGAAAGCAGGTTGGTTGGTTACAGGTAGGACTTGGCGCAGCTAGCCGGCCCCAGCTCCACCTCTCCCTGTGCCGGCACACCCCCGTTCCCTTCTCTCCAGGCTGTATTTCTGCTCTTGCAGAGGCATCCGCTGTGGTTCTTACTGCACTGGCTGTGAGGTGGGATCTCGGTTGTCCAAGTCCATGGACTGAGGTCAGAGGGCCTGCTTGCTGGAACACCAAAAAATCCTATGGCACTCCCAGACAAATGTCGGAAGGCCACAGGATTGTGTCCTTAGTGTATTATTCTCTGAAGAGGCCCCCTGACTTTGGGACAGCCTGCCAGGGGGGACACCCTTGGCCCTTCCTTTGTCATCTTTTCAGTGTGGGCTAAAAATGTTTTAAGATATTTTAAATATCAAATGTTTACTTGAACGGTTTTGTTTTCTGTCTAGTCGAATAGTTTCATGCCTCTTCTCATTGTTGTTCCATATTTCCTTTTAACAATTTCTTATTGATTCCTTTTATGTACACCACCCTAGGCTCCCTTGTGGATGAAGAGTAGTTATAGTTGTTTTACAAAAATAGATCACTGTGCCATACCAGCCCACGCCAACCAGCTGTCACGTGGCGCCTCGATGCCAGCATGCTTGTTCTGGCATAAACTTGTTGACTGTAGCTGCTTTATCAGATGTGTCCATTGGCCTGTGAAAGGTTGTCTTGGGGTGCCACAAAACCCTGGTTTTTGCTGCTGTCGACCACCTTGGAAAGGGTCAGCTTGGTAACCAAGGGATGTGCCTTTCTCGGCCAGGTGCAGCACCAGCAGCAGCAGCAGCAGGTCATGAGAGCAGCTCCGGTCCAGCAGCCCTGCCTTCCTTTGCAGATGAACATTTCAGTGCCCCTCTACAACAGCCCCGTGGTGTTTCCTCAGACACACCCGATCACGGTGCCTGCTCCGATGCCAACGGAAATCGGCGAGAGGCCGCCACCTAATTACAGCCAAAATCGGAGTTTAAGGTACGAATGCAATTATTGTCTGAGGGGTACCTGGAGAGGTACCACACTACCACGTCCACAGAGTGTAACACCTTTCTTAGGAAGTCTCCTTAGATGGAGTCAGATCCTTGGTCCCCCGGCCCAGGGTGGTCAACACACACTTTCATGCAGGATTCGGCCAGCCCTTCCTGGAAATGCCAAGGAGCCAACCAGGGACTGTCTGCATGCAAAGTGAGGGCTTTGTCAGTGAGCCATGGCCAGCTTTTTAAATTGTTACTGCATTTCTTCACCGCCCATCAGATCACAGGTTCCTGGAAGGTTTACTTTCTCATTGTTGTGAATTTCCGAGTCATAATAAAGGTATTGCACTCTGTGGATTTTAATTCTTTTTACTGCTGAAACAGCTTCCTTGATTTTCTTTCTGTAGGTTACCCTTCTTTTTAGAGGTGTATGCATTTATAGCTCCAGCCTTTTGCTTTACCCAGGCTGGTTTGAATGGTGGGCATGTCATGAGTGGAGCCAGCTGGAGCTGGGGGGTCAGCCTAGATGACCCGGGAGGCCCCTTCTGACTTGTTCTGTTTCGGTGTTTCTGTTTGTCTGTCTGAATCAGGTGGTGTTTCACATAACAGGATTCCAAGCTGCCTTTGGTCCTCTAGTGTAAACCTTCCCTTGCCAAACTACAACCAAATTAGCCGTGATGCTAAATTCTTTGCGTTCCATATGCAGTTCATATGCTGAGGCTGTTAGTGCCCAGGCGACTAGCGATGGCTGGGACAGCAGCTGGCCCGAGTAAGGGATTTAGTCCCATCATCCCCTCCCGTGGCTCTAAGAAAACCTCTCCTCCGTAGGAGCTTTTTGGCAGGGACTCCCCTCACTGCTGTGGGGCAGCTTTGCCATTTCTCCGACAGGATGCTGCTAGATCAGTCCGTGCAGGCCTGCATGTCCCATGGGCATGAGGGCAATCGTCCCGCTCAGCACAGCACTGGCAGATGGCAGGCGAAGCCAACCCCACCCCCCCAGCGTGCTCCCACCGCTTCGTCAAGCTGCCAGTCCTTGGACCTTCCTTGCAGGATCTTAAGGGACCCCCCCACAAAAAAAAAGAAAGAGTTCTTTCAGGGCTTGACTGCACAGCATGTAGCAGCCAAACACAAACATGGTCCGCCAGACAAGGATTCTGGCCCTTGAGGCGCTTCGCACAGGCTGATGTTTCCGCAGTTCCAGAAAGTTGGACCGATGGCAGGCTGACGGAGCCAGAGTCCCCCCCCCCCCCGGTGGGGGGTCTTAGGTGCTTGCTGTGCACTTGGCACTGACGGGTCGTGCAAGTTATGCCAGCTTCCGGGAGAGCAATCGTCCGCAGCCTTCACAGTCACTTCTCACCCTGAGCTCTAACACTGAACCTATTTCTAAGTGAAAAACTTATGTAACTGTGTTTTTCCTTTGGGATTGGAAAGAAGACAGAGCACATTTTAAAAGATGCATGGGGCAATTTTTTTTTGTCAGTGCAGCTTGTCTTGCAGAGGTGAAAAGGAAAATGCCCTTACCAAAATCCCTTGTTATAAAATGACTTTAAAATGAAGGAGCATTGCTTCGTGTGAACAGAGCACCTGCGCCCCTCTTGCGTCCTCTCATGCGATGCTGAGCGAAGCATCTACCTGCCCGGGGCCAGCACCACGCCTCCTGGTTCCCCCAAGGCACTTGGAACATCAGTCAGAAATCCTTTCCTCTGCTCTGCAGGTTCTCGCAAGAGCAGCCAGGGCTGCCGCCTACAGTCCAGGTGCAGCCAATCACCAGTGCCACCCTCCACGCCCCCCCCCCGTCCCCGGTGTTCACCCCTTCCGTGATGATGCCGCACACCAGCGTCATGGCGCAGCAGAGCCGTCCTCCCAGCGCCCTCCCCCAGTGGCAGCCGCAGCAGCTTCAGCAGCACCAGCTCTACCTTCAGGTAATCCGTGTCCGCCACCCTGTCACTGGGAAGGGTGTCGGAAGCTGGGAGCCGGGAGGGAGGAAAGGTTTGT